AAGTAGTATAATTTTAAAAAATGAATAGAGGAAAACTCAGTTCCGTCTTGGGGGATTTTTAAGTCCTTCCTCTGAGTAGGGCAAGAGATAGAAATATGTAGTGAAGGTCTCGTGTCTAAATCAGGCAGCTGGCAGAAGCTGAGCTATTGTCGTCCCTCACGGTGCTGAGTCAAAAATACCTCTGTGCTTAGAAGGCTAGAAAAACCAGATTCATTCCCGGTGCAAACGGGACAATGGGCCCAGGGCTGCATGCACGTGTGCCTGTGCTCTCCTGCCCTGCTCCAAGCAGACACGGTCTGTCCCCAGTGCTCTCTGGGGCCTTGCTTCCTATGGCTGGTGCCAGTCAGAAGAAAGATGAGTGTGGACTTGGATGTCTGGGCTCTCTGTTTCTCCACAGAAATGTGTGTCAGGGTTCTAAGGCTCCAAGGCTTAGGAACTCCATTTCTCCAGAAGTTACGATCGCTGCCCTGGGAAGAAAATATTCCTGAGATGTTCATCAGCCCATGGAATTCACCCATTTATTCACTCTTAATCGAACAGCCTTGCTGTAGATCCACGGAGCTTCCCACTCTGATGTGTCCCACAAGCGTGGTGTGGTGGGAAAGCCTTCAAGTATTGTTTTTTTTTTTTCTTTTTTGTGGAGACGTAATCTCCCTCTGTTGCCCAGGTTGGAGTGCAATGGCATGATCCCAGCTCACTGCAACCTCTGCTTCCCAGGTTCAAGTGATTCTCCTGCTCAGCCTCTCAAGTAGCTGGGATTACAGGCATGCGCCACCATGCCCAGCTAATTTTGTATTTTTAGTAGAGATGAGGTTTCACCTTGTTGGCCAGGCTGGTCTCGAACTCCTGACCTCAGGTGATTCGCCTACCTCAGCCTCCCAAAGTGCTGGGATTACAGGCATGAGCCACCACACCCAGCCAGCTTTCACGTATTCTGATGGGCTGGGGGAGACAGTGGGACCAGCGAGCCAGGAGTCCTGAGGCCACCAGGCAAACCCAGTTTCTTTCCCTTTGCCTTGGTGTCACCCTCAGTCACTGGACGGTTTCACTTTCTCTGTGACTGTTCAGTGATTTCCATTCAAAGGGTTACTCTCTGTTGTCCCCAAGAAACCTCAAAGCTTAGTGTGGCTGTCCTCTATACGTATCATGTCCATGCCTGCAGTTTGTGCTTCTCACCAGCCTCTTCCTTCTGGTCCCAGGTACTGGCTTTCCTTCGGGGGTTAGATGTCAATTGTTTATTCGCTCACACTGTTGCCCCATCGCGTCTGCACATCAAGGCCTCCTACCAACAGTGAGGGTGAATAAAAGTCTTGTTCTCATTTGTTTTCCCTTTTCTGAACTTAAACTCACTATATTAAGAGTCCTTGCAACATGTGTAAGGCATTAATTCTTGGAATGAACCTCATTGACCTCAGAGAGGGTTCCAAAGGGAAAGCATGGCTGAGACGGGCTCCTTCCTCCCCCTGCTGCATGCTAGGAACCAGGAGTCCAGGAGCACAGCAAGCCCTGAGCTGCCAAACAGTCTAGGGACGATGACAGTTTTCAGCATTATTAGGAGTAGGCCCAGAACTTCCAAGGTTTCAACCAAGCCCGAAGGAGCTGCTCCTGGCATATTGCCAGGAGAGCCAGATGCAATCTTCTCACTCTGGTCCCACCTTGAGGTGATGGCTGTGCCCTGATTCCCCTATTCTTGCTCAGGCCACACCCACTCTTCTCAACACTGGGCCAAGGAGTCTACAACTCCATTTCCCAGATACTCATGCCACCTGAGCTCCTTTTAGATTCCACCAGTGGGAGGTACTGGGGAAAGACCAGACAGTGGAAGCAGAAAAAAAAGGACATCTCTTCCCGATTTCAACGAAGGCACCCCTCCAGCAAGTGCAGGAAGTACCAGCTCCACTCCTCAGGCTCTTCCGCACTGGCCCAAGTTCCCAGGTGCCAGTAATGCCCGTTCTTCCTTTTTGTTCTCCCAGCCCTAAGGGTGCTAGCTGCTTCTTACAGTTGCTCCTTTTTGGGTTACCTCAACATCTCCTTCATTCTTTTAGACTTCTAACCATGTGACCAAAAATCTGCCTTTGTTTGAAATGCCTAATGCGGTTTGTTTTTCCAGGACCCTAACTGATACAGTACTTGGAATAAGAATTAGAGTTTATTTATCACCTTCTGGAATACATGCGGTTTTCTTTTTCTGTTTGTTTGGTTTTTTTTCCTGAGGTGGAGTCTTGTGCTATTGCCAGGCTGGAGTGCAGTAGCGCAATCTTGGCTCACTGCTATCTCCACTTCCCATGTTCAAGCGATTCTCCTGCCTCAGCCTCCTGAGTAGCTGGGATTACAGGTGTGCACCACCACACCCAACTAATTTTTGTATTTTTAGTAGCAACGAGGTTTCACCATGTTGGCCAGGATGGTCTTGATCTCCTGACCTCATGATCCGCCTGCCTCGGCCTCCCAAAGTGCTGGGATTACAGGCGTGAGCCACCACACCCGGCCACACGTGTGATTTTCTAATGAATCTAAGGTACTTACCATTTCCTGCTCATTGAGTCCATTGAACAACATGGCACCAATGTAATCAATCAATGTGATGTTTTGTGGGATGTCAGGAGGTTTAAAGTCTCTGCAGGTAAAAGGTGCATTGCTATCTCTGAAATAACTCCTTCTTGACTAGACCCTGGTGGATACAACAAGCATCTTTATTTATTTACTTATTTTTATAGAGATATTGTCTCACTATTTTCCAGGCTAGTCTCAAACTCCTGGCCTCAAGCAATCCTCCCATCTCAACCTCCCACACTTCAAAGGTATGATCAGTATTTATCTGATTAAAAGAAACGTTTGTATATACTGATGTCTACATGGGTTGAATACTTCAGAGATATAGTTATTTAAATTACTCTATAACTCTGAAATACCTCCAGTATTTTGTTAAGTCATATTACTCTGAGAAGTTTTTTTTTGAGACGGAGTATCATTCTGTCGCCCAGGCTGGAGTGTGATGGTGTGGTGTCAGCTCACTGCAACCTCCGCCTCTTGGGTTCAAGTGATTCTGCTGCCTCACCCTCCTGAGTAGCTGGGACTACAGGTGCATGCCACCACACCCAGCTATTTTTTTTTTTTTTTGTATTTTTAGTAGAGATGGGTTTCACCATGTTAGCAAGGGTAGTCTCAATCTCCTGACTTCGTGATCCACCCATCTTGGCCTCCCAAAGTGCTAGGATTACATGGGTGAGCCACTGTGCCCGGCCTCAGCCCAGTATCTTTGATTTTGGAAATCTGAGAGTGATCTGCTACATTTAGTGTGCATGAAGGAACTGTATCTTTCCTACCTTCCATCTCAATCCTCTCACTGAGGGTGTAGAACAACGTGAGATCATGTAAAAAAGCTTAAATCTCTAGACTCAGGGATGAGAACAAGATTGCTTTAAAAATAATGCTGGATAAACAAATTGTGGCATATCGTTCAATGTGCATCGAATGGCATAGTATTCTGTGCATCAAAGAAAAAGAACTAACTATAGTTGCACATAAGCAAAGGGATGAATTTCCTAGACATGTTGAACAAAAGAAAGCAGGCACAGGCTGGACTCAGTGGCTCATGCCTGTAATCCCAGCACTTTGGAAGGTCAAGACAGGGAGACTCACCTCAGGTTAGGAGTTCAAGACCAGCCTGACCAACATGGAGAAACCCTGTCTTCACTAAAAATACAAAATTAGCCAGGCATGGTGGTGCACGCCTGTAATATCAGCTACTCGGGAGGCTGAGGCAAAAGAATCGCTTGAACCCAGGAGGCAGAGGTTACAGTGAGCCAAGATCATGCCACTGCACTCCAGCCTGGGCAACAAGAGCAAACTCTGTTCAAATAAAAAAAAAGAAAGAAAGAAAGAAAGAAAGAAAGAAACCAGACACAAGAGTATAGGCAGTATGAGTCTATTTGCATGTCCATGAATTCAAGAGCAGGCAAAACTATACTAATAAAAGTCAGAATAACGGTTATCTTTTGAGGGGGGATTAGGAACTGGGAGAGGCACGAGAGCCTCCTGAGCTGCTAGAAATATTCCACATCTTAAATTGGATGGTGGTTACATGGATGGATACTAATGTAAGAATTGGTCAAGCTGTGTACACTTGAGATGTGTGAATTCTAAACATGTATGTCCTATCTCAATAAAAAAGCAATATAAAATGCCTGGTTACCGAGTAGCCATTTAGAGAGTATTTATAGAATAAAGGAAATGTGTGACTTGAGCTCTCCCACTCCGTTTCATTTATTTTATTGGTAGTACTGGAAGTTCAGAACTTTTTTAATGTTAAATTCCGTACCCAAATGACATACAAAGTTTAAAACACATCTTCTCAGGCTGGGCACAGTGGCTAATGCCTGCAATCCCAACACTTTGGGAAGCCAAGGTGGGAGGACTGTTTAAGCCCAGGAGTTTGGAGACCAGTCTGGGCAACATAAGGAAACCCCATTTTCTAAAAAAATACAAAAATTAGCTGGGTGTGGTCCTGTATACATGTGATCTCAGCTATTTGGGAGGCTAAGACAGGAGGATTGCTTGAGCAAGGGAGGTCAAGGCTGCAGTGAGCCATAGTTGTGCTGACGCTGTACTCCAGCCTGGGCAACAGAGCAAAACCCTGTGTCAAAAAAAAAAAAAAGCCAGGTACAGTGGCTCATGCCTGTAATCCCAGCACTTTAGGAGGCCAAGGCAAGCAGATCACGAGGTGAAGAGATCAAGACCATCCTGGCTAACATGGTGAAACCCGTCTCTACTGAAAATACAAAAAAAAAAAAATAGCTGGTGCGGTTGCGCACACCTGTAGTCCCAGCTGCTGGGGAGGTTGACGCAAAAGAATCACTTGAACCTGGGAGGCAGAGGCTGCAGTAAGCCGAGATTGCGCCATTGCACTCCAGCCTAGACAACAGAGCAAGACTCTGTCTTTAAAAAAAAAAAAAAGAAAAAGAAAACCTTCTCAGAGTAACATGGCTTAACAAACAAAACACTGGAGGGCTTATTTGTTTATTTAAACTACTTTATACCTCTGAAAGATTCAACCTTTGTAGACATCTGTATATACAAAGATTTCTTTTAATCAGATAAGTACTGATCATACCTTTGAAGTGCCCAAGTGGACGAAGTGGTGGAGTACACACAGGAGACAGGTGCCATTTCTGGAGTCTCTCGGGGCCTGCCTTTTGTGGAAGGGAGAGCACAGATGCAGACCAAGGCCAGGCTTACTTCAAGTTGAGAAATGGGACAAATGGGACAGATAAAATCTACAACACCCACCAAAATCCTGTGTGAAACCTTATTTCATTCCTATTGGTTACCAAATGCCTTTAGCTTATCATGGAGCAAATCCAGAAGAATGTATATGCCCAGTATGCAGGCTACCTCATGCGGATCTCAACTGAGCTCACAAAGCTCAGTTACTGAGCATTTCTGCCATGCCAATCTGATAAGGTTTATAATGTACAGACTTATTGATATTTAAATCTCTTAACCTCCCTATGAGGCAGGAATGCTATAATCCCCATTTTACAGATGATAAGCCCGAGTCACTGATGAAGTTACATCAACTGAACAAGTTAGTTCACAGGTATTCACTATTAGGGCTGGAATTTGAAGCCACGCAGGTTGATTCCACAGTGGAGTCTCTTAACCATTACTACATATTCTTAACCATTCAAGATAGGAAATAATAAAAGCTGTATATAAGGGAGGCAGACAATTCATTTTGGGGTATTCTGATGAGTAGTACAGCTATGTCACAGCAGATTGGTGTGACATGTGAGGATCATGCAGAGGTCTTGAGCCACCCAGCTCCTTTGCAGTTCTCCTTTCCCAAGTATATTATCTGCCCGCTGCTTCTTGGTTTCCTTCTTCATGTATTCAGTCAGGCTACAAATAATATGCATGCCTATTACATACCAGGTTTCTGTATTATGCACAGGAAATGAGAAGATAAACAAGACACAGCCTCTTTCCTATTTATGGTAAAAACTACCCTCATTTTAGTTTCTTCCTCCTGTTCGTAATTTCATTGTTTATTTTTGCATCTGTTCAGACTGTTGCTTGCTGATGCGAGGTGACCTCTAAGTGACTTTCTGAAAAGTCCTGACCCTCTGCCTTTCAAAAACATTTAAGAACAGCAACAGCATCTGGGTATTTTCAGTAAAATGCCTTTTCAACAGCTCAAAGCAAGGCTTGTTTTTGCTTTAATTTGAGAATGTTTCAAGTGAAACTTAGTTCCATCATTTAGTTCCTGGCAGCCCAATAACCAGGGAGCAATAACTCCCTTATCTGTGGGCTGTTTAATGACTACATAGTACCACCCTGGGAGCAATAGACTAGGGCCTTCTTCCAGATGCCATGTTTTTTTTTTTTTTTTTTTTTTTTTCAATCAGTCAGCATTTATTGGTCAGCTCTCCCAAATAAGCCAGCCCTGGGGTTGGGGGTCTGGGCCTCCATGAGGAGTGGTCAGTCAGTGGGCCCGGGGTGGCTCATAATGTGCCCTGAGCCCTACGGGTGGTCCTGGGGTCTGTCAGTCCTTCCCCAGGCTTTCCAGGTCCAGAAGGGCTTTTGGGGTGTGGCGCTGTGTCAGGCTAAGGAAAGTTGCCTTGGTGGAGGAGAGGGCTTGTGGAGAGAGGTCAGACGTCACACATGCAGCCTTAGAACCTGCTAAGTCCAATGTCAGCATGTGACAGGAGGGGAAATGAGGCATGATGGCAGAACCCAGGGGAAAAGGTGGCAGGGGGTCTGAGAGTGAGATTGGGAGGACCAGCATCTTTCAGGCCCTGGGCAAGAAAGGGGTGATCAGTCTTCCAGGTGTCCCTCCCTCCTAGCTTCTGGAAAGGAGAGCAGGGGAGGGGGCTCCAGTCAGTCAGGGCTAAGTTCCATGCTATGGGGACTCTGCAGGACAGCCAGGCTTGGGGCGCCACTGTGCCTGGGAAGGTTCTGCAGGCTCCCGGGCTTGGTCCCTGCCCTGGAGGGGAGGCAGAGAAGGGGCTGGCAGCCTCATCCCCGCAGGACCTTCACTGAGTCTTCTTGGTCACCCTCTCACTCTTCAGCATCATGTAGGTGATGAACAGTCCCACAAACAGGAGTAGCAGGAGGCCTGCGGCCAGCGGGATGGCAACAGCATAGGCACGGGGCAGGAAATACTTGTGGATGACATGCTGGCTGTCGATGAATGGCAAGAGATCACCCAGGCGGTGTAGTAGGTGAAGATGATCTGGCTAACAGCGACGAGGCCGAGTCCCACCACCTGGTCTGTCCCTGTGGCCATTTCCCCCGGCGCTAAGTTACTGGAGCCACAAGCAACCCAGATGCCATGTTTTAAGGCTTTCAGCTGGAAAGACTTTCACTCTGTAAAATTTATTTTGATTATTTTAAGTCAGGATTTGGCCTTCTTATTCGGAAAAAAAAAAAAAATCGGCCTCTGGCTTTCTGCCTCCTGCACTTCTGGCTCTAGGCCACATGATCATCTAATTTCTAGTTTTTCAGGCGGACAGAGAAGGTTAGAAACTGGCAACCGTGGCCTCAACAGCAGATAAGCAGTTCAAGTCTGTGACAGGAATTAAGAAGACTGCCATAGAAAATTTTTTAAAAAGTCACCTCCTGTTCCACGAAGCATAGCTGTCTCTTCCTTCCTGTCCTCCTTGCCCGTTCTCTTTGAGAAGTCCAGGTCCCAGAAGCACCAGACACTCAATTGACTTGGGTTTTGCTTCCTATAGGTAATTATGCTAAAAGTCTGCAGAAGATCTTATTATGCTCGCATAATTATGCATTCTAGAGCAGAAGGTTTTTGCTGGAAAGCTTCACTGTTAGATATGATTTGCATTTTTTACTAGATACTTGTCTTTGGTCCTTGAGGACAAACATATTAAGTATTCCTTTGTGCATCAACAGAAAAGCAAAACACAAAACAGCCTGTGTGTGGGCTTTAGGCCATCTTTTTACACAAGAAAGGCATTGCTCTAGAACAGGGCTCACCTTGCTTCAGGGACTAAGTTTATTTTGGAGCCGTTTAAGAGTAAGGGAGTAGGTCAGAAACAACTTTTAGTGTAACCCCATCTGTAATTTAAAATGCTCTCATAAGACCAAGTCTTATCAAAAGTCAGTATTTAAATTTACCCCCAAATTTCTTTCAAAAACATTTTGTAAATTTACCCCCAAATTTCTTTCAAAAACATTTTGTAATGTTCTTTTTGAGAGAAGCCTTTGCCCTGCTAGAGGTGAAGAATGTGCTTAATCGGCCTGTTGAGTAATCCTGCAAAGTGGGTATTCCGCCGAAGCCACCTATAGCTGGGGGCTCGGGAGCGAAAGACACAGCTGGGCCCCTGCCGCCCCTCGAGCCGGGTGGGCGAGCCCGTTCCCGGTGCATTAGGAGGCAGGCCCGGCCAGGGGTGAGTGGCCAGCACCCAGCCCCGCGCATCTCCCCGCGGGCGGGGCCGGGCCTGGCTGTCATCGGCTCGATTTAAGGATGGTCTGAGCTGCCCCTTCCAGGCTGCTCTCGAAGGCTTTAGCAGGTCAGGCGAGGCGAGGCGAAGCGGCGTAAGCGAGGGTGCTTGGGGAGAACAGCCGTTGGCAGCTCAATGCTGGGTGGCTAACGCGCGACTGGGCCGAGCAACAGCCCGGCGGACAACTTAACCCGTATGCCGAGCTGCTTCGCGGACAAAGCCGCGCGCCCGGCCCGGACTACGACTCCCGGCGGGCTCTGCGACCGCTCCGGAGCGGCCCAGAGCGTACTGCACTGGCCAGCTTGACAGCCAGGTGCCCTGCTCGGCCAACTCTGCGCCCCGCCAGGGACGCTGGCCTTCTCGCGGTCTTCCCCGTGTCTCTTTACTCCAACTACCTGAAACTCGGCCCCACGAATGGCAGGAAGCGTCCGAAATTCAACCCCGTAGAGCTAGCGCCAGCCAATAAAGCGCACGGATGGAGGCCACGTGACAGCAGTGGGCCGGCGCTCCAGTTGAGCCCTGATCTCTATGGTTTCCGCGGCTCGCTAGGAGTGTGGTCCACTGGAGGACTCCCTACATTCTTCCTCCATTACCTCACTGCCTCCGGTGGCTGCTGGGATACCGGAGGACTCGGATCCCGGCTCGACTCAGTCCTCCAGCCGCCCGGGGAATACCTTTAGTTCTTCCCGGCCGCCGCCGCCCCGCCGCTTCCTCCTCCGCCCGCCGGCCTCCTTCGCCCCGCCCCGTCCGCGCCGCGCGTCCGGCCAGCCTGCGGGCCCGCTTCTCTCCGGAGCCCCCACCCAGGCGCATGGCTCCATGAAGCAGGAGGAGGAGGCAGAGCGCGAGAGGTCCCGTCCGCCCCAGCCGCGTCTGGGCCAGGAGAAAAGGTGGGAAACTCAGGCTGCGCCGCGCCCTCCGCCTCCTTGCTGCCGGGCCGGGCCTCCCTGGGGCCGCCACCGCCGGGCCCGCCTGGCCTGTTCTCGCTGGGGCGGGCGGCAGGGCCGGCAGGGAACCCCGCGGTCCTGGGGCGAGGGTCCCGGGGCAGCGTGGGGGAGGGGTCCTGGGTGGCGGGCAGGGCTTCGGGTCGTGTCCCGGCGGAGGGCAGGGGGTCGGGAGGCACTGCCGGGGAGGGGCGGGCGGCGCCGTACCCCGGGCCGCGAGGCTCGGCTCTGGCTCTTGCTCCTTGTCTGCACTCCCTCCAGGAAGCAGGCTTGCTCGTTGTAAAGTTTGGTGGTCTCCGGCGCCGCCTGGTGGCCCCCACCCATCGTCCCGCCGCCCCCTCCCCCGCCCGATGTCTGGATTCCACCCCCGCGGCTCGGCCCAAGCTGCTCTACCGGTCGCTCCATCCTCTCCCCAACTCCCCAACTCCCCAGCGCCCCAGCGCCCCGGACCCTCCTTCCTCACACCCTCGTTTCTCACCTTTCACCCTCTCCCTCGGCCTGCTTGCCCCCCCTACCCCCCCGCCCCGCTCTGGCCTGTCATTTTCTTGCTTAACACTCTTCACAAGCGCGCTCCCTCCGCCTCCTCCTTTTTTTTCCCACCCCTACCCTTGGGCCCCCCTTCCTTAACCTCCACTGGCCCCCAGTTCCGTGATCCGTCCACCTGACACTCTGGGTTTCATTCCTCTCTCTTTCCCAGGCTGTGGGTTTTGCCCTTCACTCCTTGCCCTCCTCCATTCCCTGTCCTGATCTGAACTCCTCTCCTTGCCACGCTCCCTCACCCTTATCCCTCTGGGCCTTATCCTCTTTCGCTGCCCTCTCCTAGGATAGAGTGGGTGGGGCCTCTCCCACCCACAGAAGATGTAAACAGTCTCCTGTTTACTTATATCTTTGGGAGTAGCTCAGTTCTCTAGTAGTGGGGAGAGTTGGTGAAGAGATCAGGAAGAGCTTTCTTCGATTCTAAGAGTAAGGATGGATGACTCTTAGCAACAATGATCTCTTCCTCCTGGCATAGCAAGATGGCCTGCCCTCAGGTCCCTGCCTCTGACATGCTGTCCAGTAATTCTTCAGTGCTATCTGTGCAGAGGATTGGGAAATTCGTTTGTGTTCTGAAACCGGCGGAGAACCTTTAAATGGTCTCTCCTGGCCTGAGAGCAACTCTTCCTCTGCATCGGTGGTGGGGAAGTTTTAATGTGCGTCTCATGCTCGAGTTCAATAAATAAAACCTTTGATTCTCAGTGTCCTCCCCTCTTGCTGATGACGCTAAGGATGAGATGATACAGGGAATGGGACTGCACTGCTGCCTCAGATTTAGAGTTTGAAAGGTTTGGAAATAAGAATCTGTTCTCTAGCTATATGTGCCACCCCCCTTCCCCCCCTCACGAAATTGCTCTGTCGAGTTGTGATTTTTCAGAAACCATATCTTACCTCTGCACTACCTGGGTGTGTGTTCACTGCACCTGCATTTCCGTCTTAGGTACAGGAAGAAGGAATGGAATCGGAAGGAAAAAAATTCATTCCAGAGACAAAATAGCTCCCCTCCTCTGTTGTAGCTGTTCCTCTGGCAATACAAACTTTCTGCTTTCAGTGAGTATTATCTCTGACATACGTAGAATAGAGCTTCATTGTTGTTTTTGGCTTTAGGACTTTGAGATGTCTGTGTATTTTGTTCGTTTGTATTTTTCTTCTTCCATGAGGGGGGTCCTAATGTTATTGAAGGTTTTCCACTTGTTCTCTTTTAAAGTAATTTAAATATGCAAAGACACGTTTGTTTTCCATACTCCCATTAGAGTGAGCTAGCTGGGTGGTGGTGTGGCATGATCTTTCCATTATATTTCTGGCTCCCCACCCTTCCCAAATTAGTTTCTCAATACAGCCAAAGAGATTGTTTTAACTTTTAGGGTAATTAAGTCAGAGGTTAATGCAGTTCCTGATCAAAGTCAATGATTGGTTCTCTTTTCTATAGTTTCAGTCCTCAGAGACTTTTGGAACATTTGTCCTAAATTCGCCATAGTGATAATATTTTCTTGAAAATCCCATCACAGATTTGAAAATAATTACAATTTTACACGGTAAACTTAAAACAAAGTTCTGAGGTAAAAATTATGACTGCTGTGTCCCCTTGAGTTGATTGATGATAGCATGCTGACACTTAGAAGAGAGTTTTCAGAGTGCTTCGCTTCTCAGTGGAGCTTCCCAGCCCCTCTGATGGATGCAGGGGATAAATGTTTTTATTTTACAAATGAAAGAACTGAGGCCCAGAAAAATCTGGCCACTTGCTACAGATCACATAGAAAACGGAGGGGAGGTGAAAAACAAAAGTTTCCACTGGTAGATACATGTTTTTCTTTAAGCTAAGTTGAAATGAAAATGTATAGTTGTATAGTTCTGGCTAGGCGTAGTGGCTCACGCCTGTAATCTCAGCACTTTGGGAGGCCGAGGCAGGTCGATCACGAGGTCTAGAGATCAAAACCATCCTGGCCAACATCTTGAAACCCTGTCTCTACTAAAAATACAAAAATTAGCTGGACGTGGTGACATGCGCCTGTAGCCCCAGCTACTCGGGAGGCTAAGAAAAGAGAATGCATAGTTCTGCATGTTTTTAAAAATCTGTAAAGCTGAAAAGCAGTTGTTGCCCGGCACGGTGACGTGCATCTGTAGCCCCAGCAACTTGAGAAGCTGAGGCAGGAGGATTGCTTGAGCCCTGTAAATAGTCGCTGCATCCTGGGCAACATAGCAAGTCTCCATCTCCTTAAAAGAGAAAAAGTCTGGGCTCAGTCGCTCATGCCTATAAATCCCAACACAGGGAATCCAAGGCAGGAGGATTGCTTGAAGCCAAATTGAACAAACCAACTTAGTCTCATACTGAGACCTGTCTCTACAAAAGGAAAAATTTTTAAAAAATTAGCCGTGTGGTGGTTGTAGTGTGTGGTGGCTGTAGTCCCACCTCAGTCTCCCACTTGGGAGACTGAGGCAGGAAGATCTCCGAACACAGAACTTCAAGGCTGCAGTGAGCAGTGATAGCACCACTGCACTCCAGCCTGGACAACTGAGGGAGAGGAGACCCTATTTCCAAAACAAAACAAAAAGGAACAATTGTATAGGTAGATCTGTGATTTGTGGGGAAATTTTTCACACACCAACTGTTTTGGATGTGTGTATAATGAGATTTCAAACATAAAGAAATGATTATTTGGTATGGTTACCAGAATGTGTGTGGGTTTTTCCGACTGCTTCCTGGAATAGTTCCATAAGTAGGACAGAATTATAGCTCAGGTGCCATTTCAGTACCCATAATGTAATTATTAAGTTGAATTTCAACTCAACTCTGTCACAAAGGAAACAACAGCTTATTCCCTTCTGTGGAAAGCTTGATTTGAACAAACATCTAAATGCTAAATGATAACAAAAGAAAATACAGAGACCCCCTTTTTCTTGGCCTCTTTCCCACCTCCCAAATCTTTATAAGGTCGTGCCCTGGAATAAGCTGTTTTGAGGCTTGTCTTCAAAATGTGAATCTAGATTTTTTCCCCCCACCTTTAGGCTTTCCTAGATATTTTAATCTGGTGTTGTTTGACGCTTACTACTTTGACAACAGTTTTATTGGTATTCAATACATATCAAGATGTCTGCAATAATAGCACATTTAGCAAGTTTAGTCTCTTTCTAGTGTATGTTTAGAAGCTTAAATGAGGACTCCAGTGGAATAAAACTGTACAACTCTCAAGACAGCCAAGTGTTTTTCTCTGTGTTTTCTGGCATCTCAGGATGAAAAGAAACAGTAGATAAGATTTATTAGAAGCTGTTGCTCTCCAAAGAGGTTATGAGATAAGTAATCCCATGTTAATAATGTGCTCTTTTAGATTACAAGGCCATTCTTAATGGAATCGCATTATGAGGGCATTTATTTCTCTAGAAATTGTAAGCACTCAGAGCTGTGTTATTTTTATAACCAACGTTACTTTTATCAGTGGGGTAGGGTAGTATTGGTAAGAGCAGACACTTAATAGATAGTAGTTATATGCCACAGAACTGCCAGGTGCTTTTCATGTCTTTCACAGCTCACAGATAAACCTCTGTGGCAGCAGGACCCCAAGTCCATGGAGATGTGAAAACTTGCCTGAGTTGTGTAGCTGGTACATGGCGAGTCAGATTTGGGATCAGAGATGAGACTGTAACCTCAGAATCTAGGCTCTGTACCCTGAAGAGGGGAGCTGCTCTGGGAAACTGTGAGCTTGTTTTCAGTGGACTTAGTAGCCTTGGAAGGGACCCACAGTGTGAGAGGAAGGTCCTTTTGCCCAGCCAGACAAATGAGTGAGAGCATCATCACATCTTCGTGTCAATACCAGTCTCAGTAGCTGGTTGGTAAATATTAGCTGTGGGAGAAATAGTCTGTATTAATCCCTGTAACCACAAATGGCCACACAGGCAAATAAGCTCTCTAGTGGGTAGTTCTTGTTCTTCCTTTTTTTATTTTTTATTTTATTTATTTATTTATTTATTTTTCTTTCTTTTTCTTTTTCTTTCTAGTGGGTAGTTCTGAAAGTGCTCCATCATTCAAAAAGGAAAAAATAATTCTTCCCAACTGCAGTTTAGATTGACCTATCAAAGGAAAGCCACCTAGAAGTGGCACCCGAAGCCAGTTCCAGAACTGACAGCTATTGGTATGTTTTAGCAAAGATGATAGCTACCAGCATACATTGGACCAAGAAGTTAATTTAGGTGATATTTGACCTAATTTTTAAAATGAATTATCCACAGTGGCTATCCATTTTGCTATGAATAATTATTAAACTATCCCAAGAGGGAAAAAAAAAACTATCCCTTGGTTTGAGTTGAGTAGATTGGAGATTGTTGATAAGAATAGGCACTTGTAATTCAGTCATCCCCAGGTTCTGCAGTACTCCACTGTTAGCCGGCAAACTTAAATAAAATTACTAGAGGCGTAGATAAGATTGTTGGTGACAGCAGTGTGTGTGTGTGTGTGTGTGAACGCATGTGTGTACTATATGTAGGGCACATGTTAGGTGCCATGAAAGATGAAACAGATGCCCCGCGGCTTCTCAGGATCAGGATGATGCCAGTTCAGTGCAGGCTGAAATTTTTAAGTTTTAAGCTGCCCCAGATAGCAGGCCAGTGCTCAGTGTCCCCACAGAGAGGGAGGAAGAGTTACTGAGGGGCCCTTGTTGTGGGCCCTAATGAAGTTCAGGGTCCCCTTGAGTGTTGTACATCAGGTGGAGAGGAGAGAACCTCCTGCAAGCACAGGGCAGATGAGGATGCCGCAGCATAACTGAGGAAGGCTGGTGACTTTAAGCACTAATGGCACATTTTATTTGGCACCTGCAAGGTTGAGAGGTCTTAAGAGGTAAAACAGTGGTTCCTATGATTTTGCCTGCTTTTTGTTGACGTATGAGTATTGTTTCCATCTAGTGGAAGCCTAGTTTTAACTAGCTTATTTTTATTGGTGGTCGTAATGGATGAACAGGAAGAAAAGGGGATTACTACTGCAGTCTCTCACCATAGCCCTTGACCTGAGCTTTGTACTAGTAACCAGCTGAAGGCCTGGAAGTGTCTTGGTTGTATATACACTTAATTTAAAACTTTGTCTTTTTCCTTCCCTTTTTGTAGAGAACGGGACCTTGTTATGTTGCCCAGGCAGGTCTCAAACTCCTGGACTCAAGCTGTCCACCCACCTCTGCCTCTAAGTGTAGAGATTACAGACATGAGCTTCTGCGCCTGGCTCCTCTTTATTTTGGATCAACCAGATTCACAGTAATTTGTACAATGCTCACAGTATCCTTGGTAGTTTTATGAGGTTTGGCAGGGAAGTTTGGTGGGCACAGATTTAGAAGAAGTAGAGTTTGTCATTGAGTGGAGCATTTGATTTTAGCTGGTCAGTTGGATAGTTAGTATGATCTATTAGAATGCTATTATTCTGAAGTATCTTACCCTGTACTCAAAAAGCCGGGCTGCTGGAGGACAAGGTGTCTCTTGATCCTTGTAGGGCAGTGCTGAGAGCTTAGTTGGGAAATACTTAGTTGTGATGAGATGCCTACTTTGTTGGAATAGAACTAAAGAATCTCAAACTGAAAGAGAAAATTCGGATGAAATTTGTTGATAGTGGTTGATATTTAAAAAGCCTTTGTTTATTACCAGTATCCTGGTTTACTGCACATTCTTTGCCTGTAGTTGTTATGTATTAGGTCATTCTTACATTGCTATAAATACCTGAGACTGGTAATTTATTAAAAAGAGAGAGATTTAATTGGCTCAGGGTTCTGCAGGCTGTACAGAGAGCTTAGCAGCATCTGCTTCTGGGTAGGCCTCGGAGCTTTGACTCATGGCGGAAGGCAAAGCGGGAGCAGGCATGTAACATGACCAAAGTAGGAGCAGGAGAGAGGTGGGGGGAGGTGCCGCACACTTTTAAATGACCAGATCCTGAGAGTACGCACTCACTATCATCATCACTATCAGGAGTACAGCACCAAAGGTCGGTGCTAAACCGTTCATGAGAAATCCACTCCCGTGATCCAGTCAGCTCCCACCAGGCCCCACAGCCAATGTTGGGGATTACAATTCAGCATGAGACTTGGGTGGCGACAAATTTGCAAACTATATCAAGCTAATATTTGGTGTATGTTGACAGGTAAGTAGAATATTAGCCCCCTCAAAAACCTGCTTTAAATAATTCTGTAGAAGGATGGGAGATGGAGCGAGTAGGTAATGCACAGAGGTATAGATGAAATAAGATTGGTCATAGGTTGGAAATCGTTAAATATTGGGCTCATTATACTATTTGTGGAGTATACTATTTTCTCCAGTTTGTTCACATTTGAAATTTTCTGCCAGGCGCAGTGGCTTACTCCTGTAGTCCCAGCACTTTGGGAGGCTGAGGCAGGCAGATCACCTGAGGTCAGGAGTTCGAGAACAGCCTGACCAATATATGGTGAAACCCTTTCTTTAAAAAAAAAAGAAAAGAAATGAAAAAAATTTTTCCATAGATTTTAATTTATGGAATCAGCTTTTGAAGAAATGCCTTCTAATATATTTTTGATGCAGAAAGTATCTAACTCTGCTTTTGGTCACTAAAACTCAACTGAGACTATCAGTTGAATTTATTACTTAGTGGCCTCCAGAGAAATGCTTGGGCCTAAAGAGCCAAGATTTTGGTTGGTTTTGTTCATTGCAAATCATAGTTGGAAGACGTGGGGGAACTGTAAGCGCTAGACATCAACTGTGGTTATGCTCCAGTGCGGATCAGTGACTGTATGTGGTGTGTAGGCAGAATCTTCTAGACTTGCACTGGTAGGGTTTGAAAATCCCTTCTGTTGCTCTGTTATAGGATGTTTCACCAGCCAGGTGATACCACCTGCCAGAGAACACCGGAGTTGTTACCTCCATCTCACAACATTTAGCTTTTCTTTCAGGCGTGGTGTGATGTAATAAGAATGATGAAAGGTTTTTTAGCTTTTGCATTTCATCCTTTCCCTTTGATTCTTTGAATTCTGAGGCTCTAGAGGTACAGAGCTGCAGGGCCCTGTTAAAACACCAGCTCTCTGGGGATATGGTCCTGCTGCTTTATTTAACCTGTATGTGTCTCTAGCTTGCCGTGCACAGTTCCTCACAAAGTAGAGGCAAGTGAGAACTTAGACCAGTGACACCCATTGTGGATTCAAATGACCCTGGGACTGGGGGATAATTTTCCAGGTGATGGCTGAGATGTTGACTTTGGGCTTGGTTTTTCATATTTTTTTCCCAGCTCCATTTTTGTTGGCAAGAGTCTATAAGTTGTTAGATTAGTTCTTAACATACCCTAGAATTAAAATTTTTATTTATTTATTTTGAGACAGGGTCTTGCTCTGTTACCCAGGCTGGAGTGCAGTGGTACAAACATGGCCCACTGTAGCCTCGACTTCTTGGACTCAAGTGATCCTCTTGCCTCAGCCTCCTGTGTAGCTGGGACCACAGGCACATGCCACCATGCCCAGCTACTTCTTTTATTTTTTGTAGAGACAGGTATCTCACTTTGTTGCCCAGGCTGGTCTCCAGCTCCTGGGCTCAAGCCATCCTCTCACCTCAGCCTCCCAAAGTGTTGGGATTATAGGTATGAGCCACCACACCCAGCCCAGAACTTGATTTTTTTAATCCCACCCTAAAGAAAGAGACTAAATCCAGTGGATATTATTAGAAGGATTCATTCTTCCTTGTGGTTGGTGAGAAGGCCCAGGCTATAGAGCCTGATGCATAGCTTGTGATCTAAATCCTAGCTCTGGCCCAGACGCAGTGGCTTATGCCTGTAATCCCAGCTCTTTGGGAGGCTGAGGTGGGCGGATCACCTGAGGTCAGGAGTTCAAGACCAACCTGGCCAACATGGTAAAACCCCATCTCTACTCAAAATAAAAAAATTAGCCGGGCATGGTGGCAAGCACCAGTAGTCCCAGCCACTCAGGAGACCAAGTAAGGAGAATCGCTTGAACTTGGGAGGCAGCGGTTGCAGTGAGCCAAGATCACCACTGCACTTCAGCCTGGCGACAGAGTGAGACTCTGTCTCAAAAAAAAAAAATTCCAGCTCTGCTACTTAGTGGCAGTGTGAACGATGTAAAATGATGGTGGCATCATCTGCCTTGCTGAGTGCTTTAAAGGATTCAGTGAAACCCTGTTTGAAGAGTGTATCCTCTGTGCAAGGCCTGCTTTGTTGACCTTGTGATCCACCGGCCTTGGCCTCCCAAAGTGCTGGGATTACAGGCATGAGCCACCACGCCCGGCCTAAGCTCTGTGCTCTAAGTCCAGAGTGCATGGCCAAATACTGGCCCCCCAGGAGTTGCCCTCCTAGACAGCAGTGGAACAAGATCCCAGATGATAAGAGCAGCTAAAAGTGTGGATGCTTAACACATACCAGTCACTGTTTTAAGTCGTGTGTGTGTGCGTGCACACGCGTGTATACTTTTATTTCTTTTTTGGTAGAGACTGGTTCTCCCTATGTTGCCTATGCTGCTCCCAAACTCCCAGGCTCAAGGGATCCTCCTGTCTCGGACACCCAACATGCTGGGATCTCAGGTGTGAGCCACTGTGTCCAGCCAGCGGCAGTGGTGGATGTGGGGGTTCCTCCCTTGTGGCCAGGAATTTGAGACCACCATGCTGGGCAACATAGCCAGACCCCCGTATCTTTAAAAAAAAAAAATTAGCTGGGCATAGTGCTGCCCACCTTCAGTCTCAGCATTTTGGGAGGATTACTTGAGTCCAAGAGTTGGAGGCTGCAGTGAGCTATGATAGAATGAGACCTGTCTATTAAAAAGAAGGAGAGAGAGAAAGAAAAGAAACAAGACCCTATTTCAAGCCAGAAAAAAAGAAAGAAAACAAACAAAAATAAATGAAACAAGCCTCTATTTCAAGCCAGACATTGAAGTGTACAAGCTATTATTCCTTGGCTACAGAGAGCTTTGATCTCAATCAGAAATGTCCTAGGTGTATATTTTGTTATGGATCAGCATATATGAAGAATATAAATAATCCTTGTAAAAAGTGTATATCATTCAACATGAAGTGACAAGTTGTTTAGAAATAATGGCATTGCAAATGGGTGTGTAAATATTTAATTTGAAATTTAAAAGGTTGAAGAATTTACAACTGAAATACTATTTGTAGATCAATGCCTAAAAAGATAATTATGTGTTACATGTCCAAATCACAGGGGAAAATTTACGTAGCACAATGCAGAACTCTCTCTCCCTCCCCCCGTCTCTTTCTGGCCAAAACAATAACATACAATGACTTGAGAGAAAACTTAGTTTTCTATACTTAGAAACTTCAGTGCAATCAACATTGAAATAACTAGGCTCTATTTTCCTGATTCTGTTGAGGAGTGACACTTTTCAGACAACAGAGACGACCTTGGTACTGTTATGGCTATACATTTTTACTTTGGGTTTTTAAAGACAAAGAACAATTTAAAACCCTTAGCATCATCAGCTAGGAGGAGGCTGTGGCTCCCCAGCCCATGTGATACCACATTTTGTTAAGCTGGGTAGCTTTGTATCTGTCTGCCTGGCTATGACAGGGCAGAAACTGCCACCTCACAAAAGGGCTGTGAAGCTTGGGTCATTCATGTGAATAAAGGTTTCTGCAAGGTTGCAGGTTTTTTGAATGGGGTCTTGAAAGGATAGGGAGATGTATAGAAATTGGAGTGAGTTCATGGGGAACCAAAGAGAATGAGGGGGCTGGAGGAGGAAAGCTGCAAAGAGAAAGGTGGGAGCTTTGTGTTAGAAGGTGTGCCCTCTTCAGAGTGACAGGCAACTGCTTTTCATCCTTGCTGTGGTTTGGGGCTGCAAGGACGAAGATAGATTGAAGTTAGTGATGAGGAAAATGCAGAAGGATGTGGTTAAGAAAGAAAAGCATGAAAGTTCCTCTTGAGTTCTTTAAAAATAGGATGGTCCAATTTGGAGCCTCTAAAAAAGGTAGAGACATCATGATGATGAGTCTGACAGGTCTTGTGCAGCCCTCCAGGCGGTCTGGAAATGTCCTCAGGCAGCTTGGTGCTGGTTGCTGCCCCACCCTGTCTTCTGCCCTGGGGAACCTTAGGGAACAGGGAGCTGCTTGGTGCCTGCCTCCATCCATGGTAGTCATATGGAAATTTTATGGAAAATGAAAATTATTTCCCCTTTAGGAAAAGGTTAGGGTTTTCTTCTCCTGGTCTGTGACCCTTTTTGACCCCATGACCTAGAGATGGCAGTGGGAGAAAGAATCTGACAGCTCTTAGCCTCTCCATGCACACTCTTTCTCTTTGATGTTTCTCTCCTTTTAACTAACCATCGAAATTAATGCTTAACTTCTCATTTTGGTTAGGGTTCTGCAGCATTCCAGACCTCGAGCACCGAATCAGGATGGGAAAAAGACGTTGTGTTCCTCCACTCGAGCCCAAGTTGGCAGCAGGCTGTTGTGGGGTCAAGAAGCCCAAATTATCTGGAAGTGGAACACACAGTCACGGGAATCAGTCCACAACTGTCCCCGGCTCTAGTTCAGGACCTCTTCAAAACCACCAGCATGTGGACAGCAGCAGTGGACGGGAGAATGTGTCAGACTTAACTCTGGGACCTGGAAACTCTCCCATTACACGAATGAATCCCGCATCGGGAGCACTGAGCCCTCTTCCCCGGCCTAATGGAACTGCCAACACCACTAAGAATCTGGTGGTGACTGCAGAGATGTGCTGCTACTGCTTTGACGTCCTCTACTGTCACCTCTATGGCTTCCCACAGCCACGGCTCCCCAGATTCACCAACGACCCCTAGTGAGTAGACCGGGTGCTGGGCTCACTGATGAAGGCATGGTGACATCTTGCTGGGATGATTCTCTCGAAAGGGTCTTCTGCTTGGAAAGCTTTATCATCATTTGAGGAAAGGGTAATGGGAAGAGAATGATGAAAAATGTCCAGACAATATTTAAAACACTGAGTGGATTCAGTAATGGAAGGGAGTAGTTCACATTTGGAGGAGGCTATAGGTTTGTTGTTAAAGGAGTGTTCTGGAAATCAAGTGATTTCATTCTTGGCTCTTCTGTTGTTTCACATGGCAGTGGGTAGGTCATTTAACCTCTCAAGTGGGGAAGTCACACCATACCACTGGGGACCCCAGTAGTGTTGAAGTCCAGGTGAGTTGGAAGTCTGAGGAGCAGGCTGGAGACCAGGAGCTCTCATTGACTGGGATCTGTGATTTTGTTAACAGGGGTTTCCCCTCACTTTGTTCATGAGCAATCCCTTGGTAAACCTGTAGGGTTACCGACGTCCCATTAAGAAAGTCAGAATCTGGGCCGAGTGCGGTGGCTCACACCTATAATCCCAGTACTTTGGGAGCCCGAGGCGGGTGGATCACGAGGTCAAGAGATCAAGACCATCCTGGTGAACAAGACGAAACCCCATCTCTACTAAAAATACAAAAAAATTAGCTGGGCATGGTGGTGTGTGCCTGTAGTCCCAGCTACTCAGGAGGCTGAGGCAGGAGAGTTGCTTGAACCCAGGAGGCAGAGGTTGCGGTGAGCTGAGATCGTGCCATTGCACTGCAGTCTGGGTAATAACAGCGAAACTCCCTCTCAAAAAAAAAAAGAAAGAGAGAGAGAGAGAGAGAGAGAGAGAGAGAGAGAGAGAGAGAGAGAAAGAAACTCAGAATCTGCTTCAGGATTTGTAATTCTAAATTCTTTGTTGCTTGTCCCAAGCCCTCTACTGGTCTCAGTGACTTAAATAAGCAGTATGTATAAAGTGAAGAAATCCATGCTAGCATTTTCGTCCTCAGAATTAGAAGCAGCTCTGAGCTGGCTTTGCAGAGCATTACTGCTTTTTTGTTTTCGTTTTTGGGTATGCTTTTGGAGCATTCATTGATGTGAAATTATTCATTCTCAATTGTTGGTTGCCATACGGAGGCTGTGCAAAACCTTGGCTGGGGCATGGAGAGAGTGTGAAGAAGAACCTCTTCCCCCTGGGAGACCTGTCAGGTTGGCACATGAGACATGCACAGAGCTAAGGGGAGTTGTTCCTCTGCGAGTATGTCAGAGAGAGGAGATGTGGAGGGAAGTTGTGCTCAGTGTTTAGGGAAGTGTCACCCTGGGGTAGCATGGTTAGGAAACACCTCACTGAGCAGGTGGAGATCCCAACCCTAATGAGATCCAGGCTGCCCCATGAAGACGGAGATGCAGTTGGGAAGAACAGGCGGTGATGTGGGTGTTTGGGGAGGGTTCAGGGCTTTGCGTTTCCATCCTCCAGGCAGTGGAGGCCTCGAAGGGTTTTTGAGTAGGCTTCGGGACTGCAGCTTTGGCCGGCGCTGCGCAGGTGCTTTATTGGAAGGAAGAAAATGGCTAGATGGGAGAACTGCTGTGGGAGCCTTTGTAACAGTGATCAAAGCAGATAACTTGGAAAACTTAAGTTACCTCTAGAAATGATTAACTCAAGAATCTAAGAGGTAAGGGCGTTAGGAGTGTGGAGGGGTTTCAGGAAGAGGGAACAGTCCTTGAAACTTCTTGTTAAAAAATCTGTGACTCTCAGTCTGATACAGCCTAATGAACTATGTTTTTTCTTTTTGAGACAGAGTCTCACTCTTGCCCAGGCTGGAGTACAGTGGCATGATCTCAGTTTACTGCAACCTCCACCTCTCAGGATCAAGTGATTCTCCCACTTCAGCCTCCTGAGTAGCTGGGATTACAGGTGCCTGCCACCACACCCAGCCAATGTTTATATTTTAAGTAGAGGTGGGGTTTTGCCATATTGGCCAGGCTGGTCTAGAACTCCTGGCCTCAAGTGATCTGCCCGCCTCAGCCTCCCAAAGTGCTGGGATTACAGGTAGGAGCCACCGTACCTGGCCTTTTAAAATCTTTTTAAAAGCTTTCTTTAAAAAAAGGTTTTTTAAGGAAACTTCTTTTTTTCTGAAAATTTATAAGCAGAAATATTTGTACTTGTCTGGGGCAGACATGATCATGGAAGCAACGTGGGCTTGCAGATGAACGGGGGACTCTGCAGGTGAGGTATATGTCATGAAAGCTGGGGAGCATGGCTGCCTGGATAAATAGACTTCGGGAAGAAGAAACTGTAGAATTTGATGGAGAAGTTGAGTCTTGGGCAGAGGAAGAGGAAAGCAGCATGTAAATGTGGTGGCAAAGTGAATTAAAGCTGTCAGCACGGAACGTGGGAACCACTACACAGAACCTTTCCTGCTGCTTTTGTCGGTTTCCTGTTTCCAGCTGGAGTCTTTGCCATTTCCAGAAAGGCAGAGAGTCCTTTGGGTAGCTGGCAAGTCTAAAAACAGGGTTTTTGTCAATAACAGAAATGAATAGGGACAAAGCCAAAGGTTTTGTTCTTACCCACGATTAATTTGGGGCTGGAGAATGTTTTGTGTTTTGCTTTTTTTAGTCCGCTCTTTGTGACATGGAAGACAGGGCGGGACAAGCGGCTTCGTGGCTGCATTGGGACCTTCTCAGCCATGAATCTTCATTCAGGACTCAGGGAATACACGTTAACCAGGTAATGACCCCAGACATTAAGAACTGTAGATAAATTGGCTAGCATCAGAAATAGCTGCCTGACTTTATTTCTTCTAAGTGATGTATTTTGAGCATTTTCTTTTTTGGTAATCAGGAAATATAAGGGGCTTAATCTGGTGAGTCACTTATCAGTGCAAGTACAGACAGTTAATAGCATCAAGTTGTTTTTAATGTGTTAGTGTTGATGAACAATAGATACTCTCTGCATAGTTTAAGATTCATAAATATGTGGGCTCTATGGCACCTGATGTTGGCTCCTGACTCCAGAGCAGCCTTACCTGTGTTTTCTGTCCCTCCCCAGTGCACTTAAGGACAGCCGATTTCCCCCCTTGACCCGAGAGGAGCTGCCTAAACTTTTCTGCTCTGTCTCCCTCCTTACTAACTTTGAGGATGCCAGTGATTACCTGGACTGGGAGGTGAGAACAGCCGCATTTGGAACTCTGCATCTCTCGTTGCATTTGGGTTCGGGTTAGTACATGGCAATGTATCTCCTTCATTGAGAGAGAGGGCATAGGAATGTGAAGGCTGAGCTTGGAACCAATTGTGGGCAACATAGGTGACAGAAGAGGTGCTGCTATACCAGGTGTAGGCAGAAATGTCAATGTAAAGGCTTTCTTCGTCTGTTTCTCCCTAGTCTGCTTGGTTTACATCCTTCTCCCGTGTCTAATAAGAAATAATGGGGTAAAAGAAAATATTGCAGATTCCTCTTAGCAAGCCCTGGAGTAAAAGTTTTTATTAAGAATCAGATACGAAGAATCATGACCCCAGATAAAAACCTTGTGGCATGCTTATTTAATGGGATAGGGTCAAGGTAACATACTTGCAATTCCTGGATGAGTTACTTAAAGAATTCATTTCTACTACCTTCATATTCTCAGAGGTGGCTACACATACTCTCGACCCTTCCCTAAAGCAGAACTTTCTTTGGCCTCTGTACCTCCTGAGATAGAATTAGTCGTGAAATGCAAGAAGCTCTCCCTTTTCCAGGCTTGTGTTAAGCTGGTCAGGGGACAGTGTTGATTTATATGTGGGGACTGAAGTTCCATTAGAGTAAGTAAATGCCATTTACTTAGTTGTGTTTTTTTCTGTAGGTAGGGGTCCATGGGATTCGAATTGAATTCATTAATGAAAAAGGTGTCAAACGCACAGCCACTTATTTACCTGAGGTTGCTAAGGAACAAGGTGAGTTGGATGAATGGGATTTTAATGACAAGTATCATTCACACTGGTGCCAATTAAAGGGCAAGAAAGTGAAATGTATCATCTTTAAGCCCAACTACAAATAAGAATGAGGGCCTTTCTTCCTCTTAATACCTGTCAAATTCCTATTGAACCAACAATAAACTTCCGAAAAGGTCTAGGAGCTAGGAAAAGAAAAAGGGTAAATAGTTCACTTACTCTCCTTCAAACACTTCAATGAGTAGTTTTGTTTCTTGGCCTCTTGAACTACAGTGGCAGTTGTAGCAAAATACCACCAGTCAACCTGACCATATTGTAGAATTCCGTAGGTATCAAACTTCGGATCACAAGTAGTTAAACAATGTTATACATGGCAAAGGGTGTAAACATAATCCCTACTGTTTTTTAAAGAACTCAGTAGTCAGCCAGGCGCGGTGGCTAACGCCTGTAATCCCAGCACTTTGGGAGGCCGAGATGGGCAGATCATAAGGTCAAGAGATTGAGACCATCCTGGCCAACATGGTGAAACCTTGTCTCTACTAAAAATCCCAGGTTCAAGTGATTCTCCTGCCGAGTAGCTGGGATTACAGGCGTGTGCCATGATGCCCAGCTAATTTGTATTGTTAATAGAGATGGTTTCTCCCTGTTGGTCAGGCTGGTCTCAAACTCCCAACCTCAGGTGATCTGCCTCCCTTGCCCTCCCAAAGTGCTGGGATTACAGGTATGAGCCACCACACCCGGCCTGATGAAGTTGGTTTCATCTGTCAAGAATGATACTGGGCATGGTGGCTCATGTGTGTGATTCCAGCACTTTGGGAGGCCAAGGAAGGTAGATCACTGGAGCCCAGGAGTTCAAGACCAGTCTGGGCAACATGGCAAAACCTCCTCTCTCCAAAAAGTACAAAAATCAGCTGGGCATGGTGGCATACACCTCATAGTCTCAGCTACTTGGGTGGCTGAGGTGGGAGGTGGGATCACATGAGCCTAGGAGGTGGAGGTTGCAGTGTGTTGAGATCGCACCACTGCACTTCAGCCTGGGTAACAGGAGTGAGACCCTGTCTCAAAAAAAAAATGTGGCAGAATAACAATAGTATATGCACAAACAACTTCCTCTTCCTCTCTTTCTCTTCTCTTTTCATTTCTTTCTTAAGATGAAATGCATCTTATCACCCAGGCTGGAGTGCAGTGGTGTGACCTGGCTCACTGCAGTCTTGCCCTCCTGGGCTCAGATTGATTCTCTCACCTTAGCCTCCTGAGTAGCTGGGACTACAGTCACATGCCACCACACTCAGTTAATTTTTGCATTTTTAGTAGGGATAAGGTTTAACCATGTTGCCCAGGCTGGCCTCGAAATCCTGGGCTCAAGCGATCCTCCCGCCTCAGCCTCCCGAAGTGCTGGGATTACAGGCGTGAGTCACTGCACCTGGCCAGCTTCTTTCTCACTGTTAATTTTTTGCCATAGAAAACAGAACTCCTAGAAATCATTAAATTGGAGGAAGGTCACACAAAGGAATATAAGTTGCAGAATTTAAATTCCTCTCTTCTCACAAAGCAGCCTTGGGTACCAGCACTAGGCCAATAGGCTGGTCTAAGTTGGAACCATGTTTGTTCCTAGATAATTATATTGGGGTAACATCTGACAGGAAGGACACAGGAGCAGGGAGCCTGGGGACAGCCATTATGGCATGTTTTGGGCTGTCGTCTCATGTCTCAGAGTCTCCACGGGGCTGTCAGACAGACTGGACGCCAGGTACGTGGGGGTCAGTGCCCAGGGCTTCCTCTGCCCTACCCTTAGCAGACTCAGCTGCTTCTTGAGTCCCATTTCTCCTCTTGCACCGGCCACGTGAGAGCATGCCTTACTCTTGCATGTGTGCTGACCTCAGTATGGTCTCTCTCCTCAGACTGGGATCAGATCCAGACAATAGACTCCTTGCTCAGGAAAGGTGGCTTTAAAGCTCCAATTACCAGTGAATTCAGAAAAACGATCAAACTCACCAGGTATGCCATTGTCTTGTTTTCCTTGTCATTTCAATTTAGTTGGGGTTGAATGGAGGATAATTTTGATGGGATGAGGAAGAAGAAGTTTTCTCTATGAATGTCCCTAAATCAAAGTAGTATGGGTGAAGTTCAAGTTTTGAGGAAGCAGCAGCAGCAAAGACAGAGACTCTCCCAGCATCCTGTGCGTCTCCACAGCTGAGCTGGGGGCACGGTTGGAGCCTGGCAGGCCTGCTGAGCAGGCTGTGGATGGCTTTGCCAGACCCACGTGGTTGGGAGGCTGACGGGGAGATTGTGGTTAGGAGACAGGGCTCTCTGGAAGTCCAGGGTCAGTTGGGGTGCTGCTTTCTGACCACACATGCAGTCAGGCGGCAGGAGATGCAGGAGAGTCAGATAATGCTTTTTACAAAAAGCTAAAAGGAAACGCCTCTCATTTGGGGGGAATACTTCTAGGAGGAGGCTGCCTAGTATAGTAGAATGCACATGGACTTGGAGTCGGAATCCCAGCTCAACCTTTACTAGCTGTGTGACCTGAGCCAGTTATTCTACTGCCTGAGCCTGTTCCCTGTCTGGAAGATGTGAATGATAAATACCTTAGAGTTGTTTGAGGCTGTGCTAAGGTAATGTATGGAACATTTCTAGCCTGGGGCCAGGCAACATTGTAGGTGATCAGTAGACGTTAGTTCTCTTCTCATCCTTACTGAAAGCTAAACTGAGTGGTTTAGCTTCTATGGGCTTTTGTGGGCCTCTTTTGGGCCCTCATCTATAAAGTGCCGAATAATCATGTAATAATCTCACAGGTCTGTTTGGAAGATGACCCAGTGTTTTTTAAATGCTTTGGATTCCAAAAATTTTTAAACAGCAACAAAAAACTCTTCAAATACAAAGCATTATTATTATTATTATAATTTATTTGAACAGCCATTTCCCTGTCAAAATTCAGGAATAATCACCTTGCAGTGGAGGAGTGATTACAGTGGGAAAGAGATGGCTCTGGGTAAGGATTGTCACACCCAGCTCCTGTGGTCTGTAGTAGGCTCCATAGGTTTGTAACACCCCATGCTTCGCATCCTGACTCATGGCTCTTTCCAGAGCAAAGCCAAAGTGCTATGAATTCTGTTATGACGACCCTGTGATACGGCATATTCATCTGGGGAGTGAAACCTATCCTATATAGCCCCAAGGATCCTTTCACCTGCTTCAGCAGAGTTTGACCCAGAATTAGGTATCTGTGTCCCTTTTAGTTATAAAAACTTGTTTGTTGCTCTTATGCAAATGGAGGTTGCATTTCTGTTAAATTTATCACCTTTAATCTGAAAGTAGATATGCAGTTTGCACTGGGTTTTGGTGCAGCCATCTTCCAATCTGCCACCCGTGTAATTTGACCTTGAAATTCTTCATCCAGACCCCAGTAGCTGATTGCTTACGAGCAGCCTGATGATGAGCACGTGTAGTGTTTCAAGGTGGGATGTGCTGAAACACATTCTCAGGGGTGAATTGTGATTGTGCTTTTTCATCTTGTTCATTTGTAATAACAACATTGTTTTCTCGTGCTGTCTTTCATTTTCTGTAAGTAAGATTGCTCTTGGTCTTCCATTTTATTCTTTCAAAATGTGGAATAAGCTTTTGGTTTTTCTCTGCTGAGTGACTTTACAAAATGAAGCGTTTGGGGTTCCTAATACTCTTTCCTGTTTCCTCATACAGGTACCGAAGTGAGAAGGTGACAATCAGTTACGCAGAGTATATTGCTTCCCGACAGCACTGTTTCCAGAACGGCACTCTTCATGCCCCACCCCTCTACAATCATTACTCCTGACACACGGCTGCATGACCAGTCTCACCCCCCTGTGGCCACCAATGGCTATGACATCATTGGAGCAGATGCCTCCTCTTCCTGGTCCAGTTACTTCTATTACTGCACCATTTTATGATGCTAGCTTCCGTTGCCAAGTCTGCCTCCCGCTGACTGAGGGAGGGTAGGGTTACCTTGAATGAAACAGAACTTGAGGGGCCCAAGCCTTATCTCAGCCTTTCCTCAATATGGGGTTCCGTTGGATTGGGGCTCCTCCGTGACTAGTGAGAATTACTGTGTGGGTTCAGAAGACCCTTGTCTGGTATTTGCCACATGGGTGTTGGCCACACACTGGAAGCTGAAATTGATGATCCCTGAAGGTTGAACCCACACACACCCCTGCAGCCTCCCCAGATGAAGTAGGTGTATTCCCCTGGCAGTCTGGGCAACGGAGACCAACAAGAAACATTTTTAGGTTGTTTTAAATTCCTTTTTTTAAACTTCCAGTTTATTGCGTACCAAGTTGATTAAAACCTCCATGCTTCACAAGTGGACGCCACGTCAGGGTTGGACGTGGGCACCGTGAGTCCTTCGAGGCTCCTGGACAGAGACCCACATCAAGATCGGAAGCCCTTTGGATGGCGTTGCAGATCTCGTTGTCAGTAAGCCGTGAAGATTTTCATTCTCATCCCACTCTCAGTTGGACTTTCTGGCACTCTTCCTGCATTGAGTCTCCTGATTACTGAACAGAGCTCCGTGATGTAGCCCACTGAGGAATGGAATGGAGCTACCCATGGGAGGTCCTGATGTCATCACTGCACACAGGTGTGAAAGGAGAGCCCTCTTCTGCACCACCTGGCTACCTCACTCCTCTGCTGGTAGCAGTGCCTATAGCTGGACCTAGGTTCTCAGAAGCACAGATGTGCAAACAAGCGATTGAGTTGGGCTTCAGGGGAGACACATCATAGGAAAGAATCCAGGGCCTCTAAGCTGGTTTTCTTTTCAGGCAAACATCCTGAGCGGGATGCTGTAAGCAGGGGAGTTCCTTTTTCTAGTTTGCCTGTAGAAGTGGGAAGACTGATGTTTCTGTCCTTTACAGGACTTCAGAAAACAGTTGTATAATTACACAAGGTGGATCTTTATCTTGCCTAACATGCTGGGAATCTTCACCCCACCAGGGCAAATTTCCAAATAGCTCATTTTATTGTAGGTCTTTCAAACTTTCATGTGACATACTTCCCTTTCCCATTGTTGCTGATTTCCAAATAGCTGTCAGCAAGTTTTTCCTCTCCCCTTGCCTATTCTTCACTCATTTGGTGGCAAAGTTAATAGAACTAGGGGTCTTGGAAGATGCTTTGAAAACATTGTTACAAAGGCACTGCTGAAATGATTCACAGGAAGGGTGGCCAGTGGAAGAAGGATCCTGAGGATGTGACACTGGTTATCAACAACATGCTTAGAGAACTCTTGAAGTGGATTGGGTGTCAACCCAGTGAACATAGTGTTTTGATTTAATTTATTTTTTCAAGTTTATGTGGTGATGGTGTGGCTTTCCAAAATGGGAAAATATTCAAAAGATCGTTTGCATTTTCTTCTGCCAGGAATGGGGGAGGGGAGCGGGGGCACAATCTGAGAAAGAACACCTGTGCTGTTCTATGCATCGCTGGCAAGTTTGTGGGAAGGGATGGGCGAGGGTGAGTGGGTTTGCTCCACACTGTCCTGTGCTGCTTGAGAGGACCTGGGACGTGCGAGGGAAATGTGGGTGACAGGGTGCCCAGGCTGTGGTCCCTCACTGCTGTGCTGGGTTCCTGCAGCCTGCCACGTTTCCCTTGGGAGTGTAAATGAAGATGGAGGGGTCATTTCATGATTTCCTGCTGCTGAGAATAAATGTCTTGTTAAAAACGTGGCAGCGGTTACTTGTAGGTGCCATGGATCGATGTCGGGGGTGGTCAGCTCCGGACTAAGCCACCCACCTCCAATTTGTACAACAGTATTGATACATAGGGCTACACTCATTACTGTTCAAGTGTTCTATGTTAAAAGTTGTGTTTAATTTCTAAAGATTAAAAAAAAGCAAAAAAATTGGTGCTAAACCTTCACCCCTGAGCACGCTCAGTGAGACTGGTCATGCAAGCATTTACAGTGCCATGCTCCTCAAGCCGATTTTTTCTTGTGGAAATGTTGCCCTATTTGTCTTCCCCAAGGTATGGTATTTATTTTATTTTATTTTATTGAGGGGGGTAGGATACCTGCCATTTAAAAAAATGAATAGAAAACTTTAAAACCCAAGAAATGGGGAAAAAGAATCAGTGCACAAGAATTGGGCTGGTTAGGCCCAGCACCACACTGAAGTGGGCTCAGTGGTTTTTGGAGTGAAGAAGCCTTACTCCCTGCACATTCCCTCATGCTCCCACACGAGTCCAGCAGTGGAAATGCTTGGGTTCCTCTTGCCGTGTCAAGGGGACTCAGGAATTGACCAAGGGAAACCATTTGGCCCCAGGAGGAATGGGCATTGTCAGTATCCGTCCTGAACGGGGCCTAGTCAGGAAGCAGTCTAGAAGTGTATGGTCATGGTCGCCTCATGAAAGTGTGTGGTAGGTGGCTCTCAGGAAAAATACCAAGTCTGGATCATCCATGTGGCAGCTTTGCATAGGGAGAGGACAGCTCCGAACTGCTACTGAACTGCCTTCTGCACGCTTGACCAAAGCAGTGATGAGGGTGGCCAGTACCTTTGGTGTGAATGGTAGATTTAAAGAAAAGGGAATGTTTTCTGCTGAGTGTTTCCTTTGTCCTTGGGCTGCTCAAGCTGGACAGTAGGTAACCACTGTTTTCAAGGAACCAGCCCAACTTCTCTGGCTTGGTTCGGAGTTTGTTTCATCCCTAGCTGTGAGTGCCTTTTGGTCTGGAAAGTTGGCTTGTCTCATAATACCCACAGCTAGGACATTCTCTCTGTAATTATGAATTGTCCTTGTTTTACATTAAAAGAGGATGTCTTTGATCACTAGAGTTCTTCAGTGTTGGATTATTTCCACTGTGAGATTCTTAAAACTTTTTCGCTTCATAAAATAATAAAACAACTCATGTTAGAGACCCTTTCAATATGAAAGGTTTGTAGTTGAGACATTACATATATTTTATTGTTTATAATAAAAAATCATCTATACAAAAGAAGTCCTGGGTGTTAATATTTTGCACAAGATCTGTTTTCCATGATGTGTTGACATCTACAATTTCACTAACTGTTGATGTTATTTTCTATTGAGATTCTGGAGCCTAGGGAGCTATGTGTTCTTTTTGTTCATTTCGTTCTTTTTTTCCCTGAAGCAAGAGACTATATGGCCTTCAGTGCAAAGACTTCAGACCAATTCTTTGTATTACACTTGGTTGCCTCTTGGCTATATAACTTCTGAGTGCAAATCATTGAACTCTTTAATGAAGTATTGTAGAGAATAAATCATAATGGATAAAAATCTTTTTGTCCTGCCTCTTTTTTAAACCTGTGGCTTGATTCATATGGAATGTTGGTAACAGTTGTCTTATTTTTTGAAGATAGCCGACAAGATAGTATTTGGTCAGCTTGGATATTTTGTGTGGTGCTCATAGCCCCACCCTTGTGTATATTTTTGTGGTTGGTAGCAATGCCACCGGTGGCATAGAGCTAAGTTTCGTGAGAAATCATTCATTAGCCGTGAGCAATCATTCATTAGCCCTTTAAGATTTGGGTTTTTCCAAAAAGGTTCATTGTTTTCATTCGATTTTCAGAGACTGACCTTGCCAAAAAAGCCAAAATCTCTTGAAGAGGGGGGAAAAAACCCATTAAAATATGTATCATATATATATATGTATATATATATGTAATAATTAATGGTGATATGAATTAATTCAGTCAAAGACCCTGGGACATACTGGTGCAGTCTGACCTAACCAGTGAAGTTTTGTTTTTGGATGGCCCAGGAAAGATGAGATGTGTTTGGAAAAAAGGACATATTCAGTTTACACTTTTTTTTTTTTTTAACTTGGTAAAAATAATTCAGTATTCCATTTGGGCAGCACTCTGGGGTCTGCTTGTCCCTCCCTGGCTTCAGTCCCCTAGCCCAACCCATCCAAAGATCCCCAGTTGACACTATTTGCAGAGAAGTAGAGTTTCTTTTCTTTTTTTTAGGGTACTCAATTCTGAGGCCCTTAGCACTTAGCAAAGCTCAAAAACATGGCTACAGATAAAAACGTGCTGTCAGGGTTAGGTGATTTCAGAAATTGACTACAGGCAGCTGATTAGATGTTTATATGCTTGGTTAATAACTGGTGTGTGTGAAGAGGAATTCTTTGTTCAAGAGAAATTGATGTTTTAGAGATTGATGTTTTAGTTTACATTCCATAGTACTTGTAATAGTACCTGTAATTAAACAGCGTGGAATTCCCTATGACTGATTTGGGGGGAATGGGGAAGGTTTGTTAATAAGGCAAAATTTTCAATTTTAGCCATCACTGTTGACTTCTGGAGTGTGAAATAAACCATCTGATCAGAGATCAGTGGTGCTAATTCTTGTGGGAGTGGGATTGGGAGAGGTGCTCTACAGCTGCTTCTAGATAAATCTAGACTGAAAAACTAAGTGGGCTGGTTGAAGGGCTTGACTGAATCAATACTGTACGAGAATCAGAGTAGCAGCCTCAGGAATGTAATGCAAGTCCTATCCCTTCTGTGTCTGCTTTCCTCACTAAAAAGACAAGGATTCGAGGGTCTCTTCCTGCTGCTTATGCATTGTTTCTACTCATACAGGTTCTGTATGCCCTGGAAAATTGGGGGGAAAACCTCCTATTTCAAAACAATGAGAGAGGTCTCCAGTTCACCATTGGTCCTTCAAGTTCCTGCTGCCAATCAGATCCCCTGCCCCCAGTAAGGCCATTCTGTGATCACATCCTGGCTCCCAACCAAAGAAATAACCCAGGGCGGGTGACAACTGGAATCTTCTCTGGCTGGCAGTCCCTCAGGCCTAATCTTGGTCCTGTCATTTATAGAGCATTTCCTGCTTTGTGACAGGACTGTGAATCTTCAAGGTAACCTGACCTTGGAGAGGTCATATGTAAAAATAGTAAACGTTGTCCAGGTGGAACATCAAGCATCTAACCCTCCGGAACCTTCAGTTTCTCTGGGCACATGAAAGGGGGTGTGGTCAGCCCTTCAGGTCTGGACATGTTCCCTAGAGAAGCAGTGCTGAAGCAAACAGCATGCTCTGGAGCAGGGAGCTTCTCAGGTGGAGGGAGACCACGGTGCTGGCACAGCAAGATGGCAAGACGCGGTGGATGAGCCCTCCCAGGAGGTCAGACTGCACTGGCCAGACACTATTCCCAGGACAGCCTTCTAAAGGTTTTCTTTTTCTTCAGTTTTAAATTTTTAACTTAATTTTTAAGGCTTTTTTTTGGGGGGGGGCAGGGTATCTCTCTGTTGCCCAGAGAGTACAGTGCCACTGGAGTATAGTGGCGCGATCATAGTTCACTGCATCCCTTAAGCGATTCACCCACCTCGGCCTCCCTAATAGCTGGGACTACAGACGCGGCACGCCCCGCTTTCTTTTTTTTTTTTTTTTTTTTGAGATGGAGTCTTGCTCTGTCGCCCAGGCTGGAGTGAAGTGGAGTGATCTTGGCTCACTGCAACCTCTGCCTTCTGGGTTCAAGCGATTCTGCTTCACCCTCCCCAGTAGCTGGGACTACAGGTGCGTGACACCACACCGGGCTAATATTTGAATTTTTGGTAGAGGTGGGGTTTCGCCATATTGGCCAGGCTGGTCTCGAACTCCTGACCTCGTGATCCACCCGCCTCAGCCTCCCCAAGTGCTAGGATTACAGGTATGAGCCACCGCGCCGAGCCGATTTCTATAGTTTTTAGAGGTGAGGTCTCACCGTGTTATCCAGGCAGGTCTTGAACTCTGGAGCTCAAGCCATCCTCCAGGCTCGGCCTCCCAAAGTGCTGGAATTACGGGCCTGAGCCACCGTGCCCAGCCCAATTCATTTTTTATTAAATCAACAGAGTTTACAATATGACCATCTAAATAAACATTGTTGACTAATGAGCCGAGATTGTTGACTAATAAGCTATGATTATTTCCTTTATTGTACAGCCTTTTGCCCTTTCTCCAGTGTTGAAAACAGCATCACTTTTCATTTGCTTTTTCTTTTTTTTTTTTGAGACAGAGTTTCGCTCACTCGCCCAAACTGGAGTGCAGTGTCGCAACCTCCACCTCCCGGGTTCAAGCGATTTTCTTGCTTCAGCCTCCCGAGTAGCTGGGATCACAGGCGCCCACCACCACGCCCGCCTAATTTTTGTATTTGTAGTAGAGATGGGGTTTCACCCCGTTGGCCAGGCTGGTCTCAAACTCCTGACCTCAGGTGATCCGCCCGCCTCGCCCTCCCAAAGTGCTGCGATAACAGGCGTGAGCCACCGCGCTCAGCCGTCATTTGCTTAATTTTCTACGCATCATCCAAATGTTCCAACAGACGTGTGGTTAAAGCCTTCGAATATCATTGTCCGCATGCTCAGAAGTATCAAATATCCCCCAGAAATCAATACAGTTTTAAAAGTTTAAGTCAGTAAAGGAAATTGGACCGGGCGCGTTCTGAGGCGCCAATCCTGCTTTCCATCAGCAGGCGTTCCTGCATCTCATCTGACCCTCTCTGCCCAGAAAGGCTTAGGGGCTGCCCCAGGACGTCCGCGCGGTGAGGCGCATTGGAGAAGAGAGAGAGAGAGTGCGGCGGACCCCAATCCCGCGCAGGGTACCCCTCGGCGGCTAGGAGTTTCCCAGACCTCACCAACCCGTCCTCTAGTCGCGCCGGGCCAGGCCCACCCTCGGCGCCCCGCCCACCCCTCGGTGCCCCGCCTGAGGCCACGCCCCTTCTGCTGCCGTTCTCCGCGCTTCCGCTTCCGGCAGCGTGGGTGGTGGCGGGCCGTGCGGTGATGGCGGCTGGCGGCAGCGATCCGCGGGCTGGCGACGTAGAGGAGGACGCCTCACAGCTCATCTTTCCTAAAGGTTGGGCTCGGGCTGCCAGACTCTCCCGCGCCACTTTGCGTGGTCCCCGCAGGCCTGGCGTTAGCCACGCTTCGCCCGAGGCCTGGCCTCAGCGGCGGCTCAGGCAAACCCTGGCGCGTTGTAGTGCTGGGGAGGAAACATGGAACCGGGAGGGGCCGCCTGGCCAAGTGGGTTATTTTATGTGATAGCAGACTGCGAAGTTCCGGCGGGTTGTGTTAAAGATAAATAAAGCCGGACACTCAGGTGGTAAGGTCAGATTTTAAACTAACTGTTGCGCTATGGAAAAGAGTCCAGCGTGAAGCGAACTCAGCTTCGATTAGTACAAAACCTCTGGGCGTTTTAAGGGAGAATTAGGGAATAGGTTGTGGTGAGCGGGGGCTCAGGGGAGTCAGGGAAGTGAGATATTTAAAAAACCGGGAAGACGAGGCTTGGTCCGTGTGAACCCACAGTGGTTTGTTTACTGGCGCACCTATCGAAGTTAGGCCCCTACCTTCCCCCTGAGACGGAGAGACAGGGCTGTCTTCAGCTGTTGGGTAGAACAAAAAATTATTTTGGTAGCCTTCAGTTTTCTCAGGCACGCACTTTAAGCGGTTTATGGTGATCAAGGGGAGGCTATTCTTAGGGATGAGGTCTTCAGCTCAAGAACTTTACAGTATATTGTATACAGCTATCTTACTCTTTATTGATTGTTTGAGATAGGGTCTCGCCCTGTTGTCTAGGCTGTAATGTAGTGGCAAGATCAGAGCTCACTGCAGCCTCAACCTCTCTGGCTCAAGCGATCCTCTCACCTCAGCCTCCCAAGTAGCTAGGACCACAGGTACATGCCCCCATACCTGGCTCATTAAATTTTTTTTTTTTTTGTAAAGGCAAGGTCTCACTATGTTTCCCAGGCTGGTCTCAAACTCCTGAGCTCAAGTGAGCCACAGCACCTGACCTATCTTATTCTTTTTTTATTTTTCCCCCACCCGAGACGGAGTTTCGCTCTTGTTACCCAGGCTGGAGTGCAATGGCGCGATCTCGGCTCACCGCAAGCTCCGCTTCCTGGGTTCAGGCAATTCTCCTGCCTCAGCCTCCGGAGTAGCTGGGATTACAGGCATGCACTATCATGCCCAGCTAATTTTTTGTATTTAGTAGAGACGGGGTTTCACCATGTTGACCAGGATCTCGATCTCTCGACCTCGTGATCCCACCCGTCTAGGCCTCCCAAAGTGCTGGGATTACAGGCTTGAGCCACCACGCCCGGCCCTAACTTACTCTTTTTTTTTTTGGAGACAGTCTCGCTCTGTTGACCAGGCTGGAGTGCAATGGTGCGATCTCGGTTCACTGCAACCTCCACCTCCTGAGTTCAAGCATATCTCCTTCCTTAGCCTCTGGAGTAGCTGGGATTTCAGGTGCGCCCAAGCCCTGCTAATTTTTGTATTTTTAATAGAGATGGGATTTCACCATGTTGGCCAGGCTGATCTTGAACTCCTGACCTCGTGATCCGCCCACCTTGGCCTCCTAAAGTGCTGGGAGTACAGGTGTGACCTACTGCGCGCACCCTCTTACTCTTTTAATGGGCTAGGTAGTACTTATTGATTGTACCTTAATGCTGTTTTTTTGTTGTTAGAGATAGAAGTTACTTCCAGTGTTTGGAGGGTTTTCTGGGTTTTTTTGATTTTTTGTTTTTTGTTTTTTTTTTGAGACCGAGTTTCGCTGTTGTTACCCAGACTGGAGTGCAATGGCACGATCTCGGCTTACCGCAACCTCCGCCTTCTGGGTTCAAGCAATTCTCCTGCCTCACCCTCCCGAGTAGCTGGGATTACAGGCACGCGCCACCATGCCCAGCTAATTTTTGTATTTTTAGTAGAGACGGGGTTTCACCTTGTTGACCAGCATGGTCTCGGTCTCTTTTTTTTTGAGACGGAGTTTCGCTCTTGTTACCCAGGCTGGAGTGCAATGGCGCAATCTCGGCTCACCGCAACCTCTGCCCCCTGGGTTCAGGCAATTCTGCCTCAGCCTCCCGAGTAGCTGGGACTACAGGCACGCGCCACCGTGCCCAGCCAATTTTTTGTAATTTTTAGTAGAGATGGGGTTTCACCATGTTGACCAGGATGGTCTCGATCTCTTGACCTCGTGATCCACCCGCCTCGGCCTCCCAAAGTGCTGGCATTATAGGCGCGAGCCACCGCGCCGGGCCGGTTTTCTGTTTTTTTTTTTAAGAGACAGGGTCTCACTGTGTTTCCCAGGTTGGACTGCAGTGGTTATTCACAGGCTCAGTAATAGCACAGCCTCAGACTCCTGGGCTTAAGCAGTTCTTCCGCAGCCTCCCAATAGCTGGGACTGGTGGTGCCCAGCCTCCTTTCAGTTTTTTATTTATGGAATGAGGGTCATATGTTTCCATAGGTAGATTTATGAAAGTTTTTGGCATGATAGAAATAATAGTTTCTTTTTTAAGGGATAACTAAAAAGATGCTTTTCTTAATTTGATGATACACAGATTTTTTTGTACTTGGGTTTTGTGTAGGTACTTTTTGCTTAGTGAGTTTATTACACTCTGCATATAATTTTTGATGAAATCAGGTAGTGTCTGGTACACATGAAAATTTTGCTGAATTGGATACAGTTGACTGTGAACAACACAGGCTTGAACTGCACGGTCCACTTATACGCAGGGCTTTTTCCAACCAAACTTGGATCAGGCTGTGAAACTGAGGATACAGAGGGCAGGCAGGCTTTTTGTATGCGAGTTCTGCAGGGCCAACTGTGGGACCCCTGTATGCTTAGAATTTGGTATGTGTAGAGGTCCTGGAACCAATCCCCTGATTAGACTGAGGGCCAACTGTGGGACCCCTGTATGCTTAGAATTTGGTATGTGTAGAGGTCCTGGAACCAATCCCCTGATTAGACTGAGGGACAACTGTAATTGGACCTTAGATCCTATTGAGTAACAGTGCCAGAGTTCTGTCTATCTCTCTTTAGTGTCTCATCTGATATAGACATATGAAATGTTTATTATATAAAGTAAAGACGGGGCATTGGTGTTGGATAAGCCTAGGCAACACAGGAAGACCCAGTCTCTAAAAGAAAGTGAGTGGTGGCATGCGCCTATGGGCCCAGTTCCTCAGGAGGCTGAAGCAAGAGGATCACTTGAGCCCAGGAGTTGGAGGCTGCAATGAGCTCTGACCACACTAGTGCATTCCAGGCTGAGTAACTGAGACCCCTGTCTCTAGAGAAAAAAAAGAAAAAATATATGTGTAGTTAGTTATAAGAGATGGAGTCTTGCTCTGTGGCCCAGGCTGGAGTGCAGTGGTGCAATCTTGGCTCATGTCAACCTCTGCCTCCTGGGTTCAAGTTATTCTGCCTCAGCTTCCCAAGTTGCTGGGACTACAGGCATGCACAACCATGCCCAGCTAATTTTTTGTATTTTTAGTAGAGATGGGGTTTCACTATATGTTGGCCCGCCTGGTCTTGAACTCCTGACCTCAGGTGGTCTGCCTGCCATGGTCTCCCAAAGTGCTGGGATTACAAGTGCAAGCCATCATGCCTGGCCATCAAGTGATTCTTGATTCTCCTGTCTCAGCCTCCCAAGTAGCTGGGATTACAGGTGCGCACCACCACACCCGGCTAATTTTTGAATTTTCAGTAGAGCTGGGCTTTCAGCATGTTGGCCAGGCTGCTTTTGAACTACTGACGTTTTGAACTACTGCTTTTGAACTACTGACTATCTACCCAGCTCGGCCTCCCAGAGTGCTGAGATTACAGGTATGAGTCACCACACCTGGGAAAATAATTTTAAGATTAAAACATTTCTGCCCTCTAAAATAAAAATATAAAAATGAAAAAAGGTTATGTATTTTTTAGATTTTATAGTTTAGTACTTTATAACTCACTTTTTTAGTTTTTAATTTATTTAATTTATTTTTAAAATATTTATGGCTGGGTGCGGTGGCTCACGCCTATAATCCCAGCACTTTGAGAGGCCAAGGCGGGTGGATCACGAGGTCAAGAGATCGAGACCATCCTGGTCAACAAGGTGAAACACCGTCTCTACTAAAAATACAAAAATTAGCTGGGCATGGTGGCACGTGCCTGTAGTCCCAGCTACTCAGGAGGCTGAGGCAGGAGAATTGCTTGAACCCAGAAGGCAGAGGTTGCGGTGAGCCGAGATCGTGCCATTGCATTTCAGCCTGGGTAACAAGAGCGAAACTCCGTCTCAAAACAACAACAACAAAAAAAATATTTATTTATTTGAGACAATGTCTCACTCTGTCACCCGGGCGGGCTGGAGTGCAGTGGCACAATCTCGGCTTACTGCAACCTATGCCTCCTGGGTTCAGACAATCTTGCCTCAGCCTCCCCAGTAGCTAGGACTATAGGCACCCCCCACCCACGCCCAGCTAAGTTTTTTTATTTGTTTGTTTGTTTGTTTTTTTAATTGAGTCGGAGTTTCACTCTTGTTGCCCAGGCTGAGTGGGGCATGATCAGCCGACATGATCTCAGCTTACTGCACCCTCCACCTCCCGGGTTCAAGCGATTCTCCTGCCTCAGCCTCCTGAGTAGCTGGGATAACAGGCCTGTGCCACCACACCTGGCTAATTTTTGTGGGTTTTTTGTTTGTTTGTTTGTTTGTTTGTTTGTTTTTTGAGACTGAGTCTTACTCTGTCGCCAGGCTGGAGCACAGTGGTGCAATCTTGGCTCACTGCAACCTCTGCCTGGGTTCAAGCGATTCTTCCGCCTCAGCCCCGGAGTAGCTGGGACCACAGGCTCGTGCCACCACGCCTGGCTAATTTTTGTATTTTTAGTAGAGACGGGGTTTCACCATGTTAGGCTGGTCTTGAACACCCAACCTCAGGTGAACCACCCACCTCGGCCTCCCAAAGTGCTGAGATTACAGGCATGAGCCACTGCGCCCGGCCTGGGAGGCATCTCTTAACATTGATTTTTCCAGGACCTGTAAAAGCATCAAAGTTCCAACAAATGGATTTATAACTGATTAGCTGCTGCTTCCACTTTTTTGTGGCCTGATGTCATTTGTTACTGTCACTTCAGAGTTTGGATGTCCTGCAGTCCTGATAGAGAATGCCTTTTCCTCTACTCATTGCTGTGAGGCAGTTGTTTCTTCTGTACCTACACTGCCTCAGTGTTAAAGATTAAAAGAGGTAACTTTCCTGGTGTACAAATAGGTATTCACTGTCGTACATCCCCTATTGCAAGCTAGAAAACTGAAAAAGAAGATATTCTGAGGTTTTTTATTTTGAGACGGAGTTTCGCTCTTGTTACCCAGGCTGGAGTGCAATGGCGATCTCGGCTCACCGCAAGCTCCACCTCCTGGGTTCAGGCAATTCTCCTGCCTCAGCCTCCTGAGTAGCTGGAACTACAGGCACGCGCCACCATGCCCAGCTAATTTTTTTTTGTATTTTTAGTAGAGACGGGGTTTCACCATGTTGACCATGGTCTCAATCTCTTGACCTCGTGATCCACCCACCTTGGCCTCCCAAAGTGCTGGGATTACAGGCTTGAGCCACCACACCTGGCCCAACATTTTTGTTTAAACTCTCCTGCACTTGGATAGAAAATAGCTTTTGGTTGTCTTTTTTTTTTTTTGAGATGGAGTTTTGCTCTTACTGCCCAGGCTGGAGTGCAATGGCTTGATCTTGGTTCACCCCACGACCTCCGCCTCCCAGGTTCAAGCAATCTTGATTTAGCCTCCCAAGTGGGATTACAAGCATGTGCCCCCATGCCCTGCTAACTATGTATTTTTAGTAAAGACAGGGTTCCTCCATGTTGGTCAGGCTCGTCTCGACCTCAGGTGATCCACCCACCTCGGCTTCCCAAAGTGCTGGGATTACGGGCGAGAGCCACCGCACCCAGCCTAATTTTTGAATTTATAGTTTAATTTTATTTCAATAGTGCTTCATCTGTATTGGTAGCCTATTATATTCAGTAGCAATGAGTACCTTTCAAATAAAAATACTGGGCTGGGTGCAGTGGCTGAGGCCTGTAATCCCAACACTTTGGGAGGCCAAGGTGAGCAGATTACTTGAGGTTTCCTGACCAGCCTGGCCAACCTGGTAAAACCTCTCTCTACTGAAAATACAGAAAAAATTAGTCGGGTGTGGTGGCGCATGCCTGTAATCCCAGCTATTCAGGAGGCTGAGGCAGGAGAGTCGCCTGAACCCGAGAGGGGAGGTTGCAATGAGCTGAGAAAGTGCTATTGCACTCCAGCTTGGGCAACAAGAGTGAAGCTCCCTCTCTAAATACATACATACATGTATGCATACGTTTTCTCCTGACCCACCACCAAACCTGTCTGTGTTCTGAAAGTAGAATGAAGCTCTTGTCAGTTACCTGGCTTGAGAAATGGGAAGGCATTACTCTGAGGGAGGTGTTAGTGATTTCCCCAAAAGAAAACAGACCCATAGCACATGTGAATGTGAAATTGAAAGTCATTTTGGCTTTTCCTCTGTTGCTTCCTCTTCAGTGTGGGAGTATAAACATGAATTCATGTTTTTGAATGGTGCCTACTCTAGGGGAACTCATTGTTAAGGGAAAGGCAGATAAAAACTCTCTCTGATACTTTGAGACAAGCCTTAGGAACATAAGATTCTGCAGTACCATAAGGGAGAGAATGATTTTCCCAAGGGGTAACTGCATTTTTTCACAGAACTATTCTGGAAATGTAGAAGGTAGCCAGCCATATATTATGAAAAGGAGTCATGGGTTTCTTTTTCTCAAACCAAATTCTTAAAAATTGCTTATAACATTTGTGTGGGTACAAATAGAATTTAGGATACGTTATTAATATTTGTTTCCAGACACTTGGCCCTATTTAATATGTAACAATTCTTAAAATTGAGAGTATAATATTAGCTTTATTGAAATAGGAAGATGATGAGCTGATACAGGCTAGAGGGAAGTAATTGTCAGTATACTCTTGAAATAAGTAACTAGTCTGTGTCATTATTTAATTGCATGTCTAGGTCAGGTTTTTGGTCAGAAACTGGCTCAGACAAGCTAAAAGGAACAAAATCCTGTCTTGTAGCAACATGGTTGGAGCTGGAGGCCATTAACTTAAGCAAATGAACACAGGAACTAAAAACCAAATACCTCACATTATTTTATAAGGGGGAGTTAAACTTTGAGTACATGTGGACACAAAGAAGGGAACAACAGACACTGAGGCCTAGTTGGGGGAATGGGTGGTATGGATTGAAAAATTACCTATCAGTACTATGCTTATCACTTGGATGACGAAATAGTCTACACCAAACCCTCATAACACCCATTTCCCCTATATTACAAACCTGTACCTGTACCCTGAACCTAAAATCAAATAAAAGCTGGGAGCAGTGGCTCACACCTGTAATCCCAGCACTTCGAGGCTGAGGCGGGTGGATCACAATGTCAGGGGTTCGAGACCAGCCTGAGTAACATGATGAAACCCTGTCCTACTAAAAAAAAAAATTAGCTGAGCGTGGTGGCACACACTTGTAATCCCAACTACTCAGGAGGCTGAGAGAGGAGAATTGCTTGAACCTGGGAGGCAGAGGTTGCAATGAGCCAATCTCAGGCTACTACACTCCAGCCCGGGTGACAAAGTGAGACTCTATCTCAAAAAAAAATAAAGTTTAAAAAAAAATGTGGAGTGGGAAACCACTGGATTTCTGCAGGGCAGAGAAATGTTCAAATGCAAAATGAACATTTAGAAACAAACTTTCGAAGGAGTATTTTCAGCTGCCATTTATGCTTCTCACAAATAGAGTTTGAAACAGCTGAGACACTTCTAAATTCAGAAGTTCATATGCTTCTGGAACATCGAAAGCAGCAGAATGAGAGCGCAGAGGATGAACAAGAACTCTCAGAAGTCTTCATGAAAACATTAAACTACACAGCCCGTTTCAGTCGTTTCAAAAATAGAGAGACCATTGCCAGTGTTCGTAGGTGAGTGCTTAAAGGAAATTTTTATTAATTCATACCATTAGACAGCTGCATGTAGAATGCTATCCCCTTGCCCTTTCCCAGGTGTCACCTGTGAATTTAAGTAAAATAATGTTGGGCTGGGCATGGTAGCTCACACCTATAATCCCAGCACTTTGGGAGGCTGAGGCAGCAGGTCACTTGAGGACAGGTGTTCAAGACCAGCCTGGCCAACATCACAAAAACCTCTGCTAAAAATACAAAAAATTAGCTAGGTGTGGTGGTACACACCATTAATCCCACCTACTCAGGAAACTGAGGCGGGAGAATCGCTTGAACCTGCAGGCCAAGGTTACAGTGAGCTGAGATTGTACCACTGCACTCCAGCATGGGCAACTCTCAAAAAAAAAGTCTTAAAAATCTAAAAATTGCTTTTAAGACCAAAATTTCAGCCAGGTGTGGTGGCTTACACCTGCAATTCACACTTTGTGGGGCTGAGGTGGGCCAGTCAGTTGAGGCCAGGAGTTAGAGACAAACATGGGCAACATGGTAAAACTCCTCTCTATAAAAAAATACCAAAATTATACAGGTGTGGTGGCAAGTACCTGTGGTCCTAGTTACTTGGGAGGCTGAAGTGGAGGACCATCCGAGCCTGGGAGGTTGAGGCTGCAGTGAGCTGTGATTGTGCCACTGCCTTCTAGTCTGGAAGCAGACTCAAATGTGAATCTGTCACATAAGTCCAGTATGTGTGATCTAAATGGTACTATTAGTAGGTAAAAGTTTTTTTGTTGTTATTTTTTTTGTAGAGATGGGGAGACTTACTATTTTGCCCAGGCTGGTCTCAAGCTCCTGGCCTCAGTTGATCTTCCCACCTTAGCCTCCCAAAGTTCTGGGATTAACTGGATGTAGTGGCTCATACCTGTAATTCCAGCACTTTGGGAGACCAAGACGGGCAGAGCACTTGAGGTCAGGAGTTTGAGGCCAGCCTGACCAACATGGTGAAACTTCATCTCTACTAAAAATACAAACATCACTTAGCTGGGCATGATAGCACATGCCTGTAGTCCCAGGTACTCAGGAGACTGAAACAGGAGAATTGCTTGAACCCAGGAGGCAGAGGTAGCAGGGAGCTGAGATTGCTCTATTGCACTCCAGACTGGGTGACAGAGTGAGACTCCATTTAAAAAAAAAAAACCCAAAAAACAAAGCACTGGGATTAGAGGTGAGCCACCACGCCCAGCCTACATTTTTTTAAATAATAGTATTTGTACATAGGTATGAGGTACATGTGATACTTTGTTACTTAGAATGTACAATGAGTATGTTAGGGTGTTTAGGGTATTGATTATGTATTAGGAACATTTCAAGACTTCTCCTGTAGCTATTTTTATTTTATGTATGTATTTATTTATTTTAGAGACCATGTTGCCCAGGCTGGTCTTGAACTCCTGGGCTCAAGTGATCCTCCCATCTTGGCCTCCCAAACTGCTAGGATTACAGGCACAAGCCACTATGCCCAGCCTCCTCTACCTTTTTACATTTTTGAGACAGAATCTTACTTCATCACCCAGATTGGAGTGCAGTGGTGCAATCTCGGCTCGCTGCAACCTCCGCCTCACAGGTTCAAGCGATTCTCATGCCTCAGCCTCCCAAGTAGCTGGGACTACAGACACATATCACCACACCCGGCTAATTTTTGTATTTTTAGTAGAGATGGGGTATTGCCATGGTGCTCAGGCTGGTCTCGAACTCCTCATTCAAGTGATCCGCCCACCTTGGCTTCTCAAAGTGCTGGAATTATAGGCGTGAGCCACTACACCCAGCCGTCTAGCTATTTTTAAATGCTAGCTACATTTGATCCCTTTTTTCCTGTTGATTATTATTTGATTTTTGTTGTTTATTTGGTTTTAATTTGTTTCGGTATTTTTTTTTTCCCCTGTTGATCAGCTTGCTACTCCAGAAAAAGCTTCATAAGTTTGAGTTGGCCTGTTTGGCCAACCTTTGCCCAGAGACTGCTGAGGAGTCCAAGGCTTTAATCCCAAGGTTAGTACCAGTTGTAATCAGTTCTCTGTATACTGGATAAATTTCTGCAAATATAATTGGTGTATCTAAAATGTTTATGCATTTTCTCGGGCGTGGTGGCTCACGCCTATAATCCCAGCACTTTGGGAGGCTGAGGTGGGTGGATCACGAGGTCAAGAGATCAAGACCATCCTGGTCAAGGAGGTGAAATCCCGTCTCTACTAAAAATACAAAAATTAGCTGGGCATGGTGGTGCGCACCTGTAGTCCCATCTACTCAGGAGGCTGAGGCAGGAGAATTGCTTGAACCCAGAAGGTGGAGGTTGCGGTGAGCTGAGATTATGCTATTGTACTCCAGTCTGGGTAACAACAGCGAAACTCCGTCTCAAAAAATAAAAATTAAAAAAAATAATAAAATGCATAAGCATTTTATATTTGCATACATAATTGCCAATATTGAATTAAAGTGCCGTTTTAACAGTGAGAGTGATACCAAGTGATAGTAAAAATGAGGAACAGCTGGACTTCCGTATACTGATGGTAGGAGCATTAATTAGAACAACCATTTTGGAGAGCAATTTGGCTATGTCTAGTAAAGACGAATGTACTCCATGTTCCAAAAATCCATTCCTGGGTATGTATCTTTTTTTTTTTTTAGACAGAGTCTCACTCTGTCACCCAGGCTGGAGTGCAGTGGTGCAATCTCAGCTCACTTTAACCTCTACCTCCGGGGTTCCAGTGATTCTCCTGCCTCAGTCTCCTGAGTAACTGGGATTACAGGTGCCTGCCACCACACCTGTCTAGTTTTTGCATTTTTAGTAGAGATGGGGGTTTCACCATCTTGGCCAAGCTGCCTGGGTACATATCCTAAAGGTAACTCACACAAGTTTACAAGGATATGTATATTCCAGTGTTCATTGCTGCATTTTTTTTAAGTAGACATGGGGTTTTGCCATGTTGGCCGGGCTGATCTCAAACTCTTGGTCTCAGGTGATCTGCCTGTTTTGGCCTCTCGAAGTGCTGGGATTACAGGCATAAGCCATGGCGCCCAGCCTTATGCTGCATTGTTAATGATAGCAGAAATTTGATAATCTCTTGATCAATAAGAAAATGCATAAATGAATCATTGTATAGTCATAACAGTGTTTATTGTACAGCAGTGAAAAAAATGCACTAGAACAACATGGAATAATATCAACACATGCCAGAATGAATTTTGAGGAAAAAAAATTGCAGAAGGATAAATACAGTATAGTGCCATTTCTTTTCTTTTCTTTTTTTTTTTGAGACGGAGTTTTGCTGTAGTTACCCAGACTGGAGTGCAATGGCACAATCTCGGCTCACCGCAACCTCTGCCTCCTGGGTTCAGGCAATTCTCCTGCCTCAGCCTCCCGAGTAGCTGCGACTACAGGCATGCACCAGCATGCCCAGCTAATTTTTGTATTTTTAGTAGAAACGGGGTTTTACCTTGTTGACCAGGATGGTCTCGATCTCTTGACCTTGTGATCTACCCACCTCGGCCTCCCAAAGTGCTAGGATTATAGGCGTGAGCTACCGCACCCAGCCAATGCCATTTCTTATAAAGTTTGAAGCTACTGCATATTATATATCCATAAATGTGTAGTAAATATAAATATATATGTGGCAAGTAAAAATTTAAATGTAAGGCAATGATAAATTGTGGTTATTCCTGGGGGAGAAGGGAAGGTATAGGTCTAGGGTAGTATACATAGCCAACGACTTTTCCTGCTTGTTAAAGAACTCTGGCCAGGCGGGGTGGCTCACGCCTGCCATCTTAGCACTTTGGGAGGCTGAGGCGAGCAGATCACCTGAGGTCAGGACTTTCATACCAGCCTGGCCAACAGGGTAAAACCCTGTCTCTACTAAAATCATAAAAATTAGCTGGGCGTGGTGGCGGTTTTCTGTAATCCCAGCTACTCAATAGGCTGAGGTAGGAAAATCACTTGAACCCAGAAGGGGAGGTTTCGGTGAGCCAAGATCACGCCACTGCATTCCAGGCTGGGGGACGAGTGAAACTCCCTCTCAAAAAATAAATAAAAATTTAAAAATAAATAAATAAAATAACTCTTAAGAATTGCCTGAACCTGGGAGGCAGAGGTTGCAGTGAGCAGAGATCACGCCATTGCACTACAGCTTGAGTGACAGAGCGAGACTCCATCTCAAAAAAAAAACACTCTAAGTCAAGTGGGGCTAACTGTAAAGGTTTATTTTTTATAGCTTTTATCTTTTACATGTTGGAAATATTTTGTAATGTTTTTTCAGGAAAAGTGGAAAAGAAATACAGATGAAAGGTAAAGGTGTTAGAGATATAGGCAGATTATCACGCCTCAAAGAAGAGTGTGAGGAAATTGCCAGTTGCCAAGTCACTCATTCTTTCGGTTTTCTTGTTGTAGCTTGGAGGGGCGGTTTGAAGATGAGGAGCTGCAGCAGATTCTTGACGATATCCAGACGAAGCGCAGCTTTCAGTATTAATCTCCAGATGTCACTGCTTCTCAGAGAAACCATGTCCCCAGGCGTACCACCACCTTCCCAGGGGCTGGGGCTGACTTGCACAGAAATTCTACTGCAGAAGACAGTTGAGAATTCCTTTGGAGAAAATAGCCCAGCTTGGCATTGGGTTAGGTTGCTGTTTCAAATAACTCATAGGTCCAGGTGACAGGTAATCTTGGAGCAGCCTTGTGCAGTGGCTGCTAGTGGCTTTCCTGAATGTGCCTCTGGGAAGTGTGAGGTGGGTGTGTCACATAAGCCACACTATTGACTACCTCATTCATGGTTTTTGGCCTCCACGTCATCTTTTCTTAATATTTCCCTTTTTTTTTTTTTTTTTTGAGACGGAGTCTTACTCTGTCGCCGGGTGCCAGGGTGGAATGCAGTGGCACAATCTCGGCTCACTGCAACCTCCACCTCCAGGTTCAAGCAATTCTCTTGCCTCAGCCTCCCGAGTAGCTGGGACTACAGGTGCATGCCACCACACCCAGCTAATTTTTGTATTTTTAGTAAGATGGGGTTTCACCATGTTGGCCAGGATGGTCTCGATCTCTTGACCTTGTGATCCGCCTGCCTTGGCCTCCCAAAGTGCTGGGATTACAGGCTTGAGCCACCGCCCGGCCAATATTTCACGTTTTAATTTCAGTATGTTTATACTTTTTGAAACTAGACCAGAGCATAGTAGACTTTATAGAGAAAGACCTGTTTTACATAGATGCAAAAGGAATAATTAAACCGCTGTTATTGTTTGAAATGCCTGTTTTTGTCTTAATGGAATTAGGGTCTTAACTCTTGCCCAGGCTAGAGGAGTGCAGTGGTATAGTCGCAGCTCACTGCAGCCTTGACCCCCTGCCTCAGCCTCCCAAATAGCTGGGGCCACAGGTGTGCACCACCTTAAAAGATGAGAGTGTTCATGACAGAATGCCCTGGTATTATTGTGCCTAACCTAGGGGACAGGGAAGAAGCATGCCATGGGAAGTGTTTACACTTGGGGACAACTGTGCTAAGTATTGTGGAGCCCATAGCCTTGAGCGAGATGGCTACTTTGCCTTTTTTCTTGAACTGTCTTGCAGAATGTGGATTTGGGGCAAGTGGTCTTGAAGGACTCATTTAGTCACCCTCAAATTAAGATTCTACTTCATCTTTCTTGGGCCTGTACCTCAAACATAACAAAGAAAAGAAGAAACAGTGGTCATGCCAAAGAGGGCTGCAGCCAGGTGTACGCTGTGCACTCCAACCTATTTGCTGCATGAACTATGCCCATTGTGTGCCCAATGACAAGGCTTTTAAGAAATATATCATTTGACATGTAGAGGCTGCAGCAATTAGCAATGTTTCTGAAGCGGGCGTCCTTGACGCCTGTGTACTTCATAGGCTGAATGTGAGATTACACAACTGTGTGAGTTGTGCCATTCATAGCCCGGTAGTCAGGAATCAAGCTCATGAAACCCGCAAGGACCAAACACCTCCACCAATGTAGACCTGCAGGTGCTGCCCCTGACCCCCACCAAAGCCCATGTAAGGAGCGGAGTTCTGAAGGACTGAAGAAAAACTATTCTTTGGAGAAAAATAAAATTGCAGTTGTACTTAAAAAAATTTTTGCTTCATAGGCCAGGCTTGAAGTTCTGAAGACTTTGAAGTCTCCAATCTAAGCCTCTGGCTTGCTACTTAGCAATAGGTGTTCTATGATGGGCTGATTTGGAAGGAGGGAGTCAGCTACTCTTGAGCCACTGCAATGAAGTCACTTGATCTCAGTCTGGGGGGAAACACTTTAATAGCTAAACATTCTAGCTTTGATTTTTCTGAAGGAAAGACACCTCTTGAATTCTGGGATTTTTCTTTGGGGCATTTGCTTGACTGTATATGAACTTGGGGTCCAAGGAAAAAGGAGAAAGAATAGTGTTGGCTTTTATAGTCAGCATAGTTTTATGTTTGCTACTAGATAAGGCAAAAATAAAAACATTTTTATAAATACAGTTTCTGAAAACTGATTTCTTTCCTTTTTTTCTCTTTTGAGACAGAATCTGGGTCTGTTGCCCAGGCTGGAGTACGATGGCACAATCTTGGCTCACTGCAGCCTCTGCCTCCCAGGTTCAAGCAGTTCTCTGCCTCAGCCTCCCCAAGTAGCTGGGATTATAGGTGCCCGCGACCACACATGACTAATTTTTTGCATTTATAGGAGAGACAGGGTTTCGCCATGTTGACCGGGTTCGTCTCGAACTCCTGACCTCAGGTGATCTACCCACCTCGGCTTCCCAAAGTGCTGGGATTATAGGCATGAGTCACTGCGCCTAGCTGACATTTCTAAATAATTAATATTCTTGATCAATGTTTGAAGGAAATAATTTTTTTTTTTTTTTTTTTTGTGGCGGAGTTCGCTCTTGTTACCCAGGCTGGAGTGCAATGGCGCGATCTTGACTCACCACAACCTCTGCCTGCTGGGTTCAGGCAATTCTCCTGCCTCAGCCTCCGGAATAGCTGGGATTACAGGCACACACCACCATGCCCAGCTAATTTTTTGTATTTTTAGTAGAGACGGGGTTTCACCATGTTGACCAGGATGGTCTCACTCTCTTGACCTCGTGATCCACCGACCTCAGCCTCCCAAAGTGCTGGGATTACAGGCGTGAGCCACCGAGCACGGCTGGAAATAATCTTTTTATCCTTAAGCAACTTCACTTCTTTGAGCCTCATTGGTGTTCTCAGTTAAGAAATGTGGATAATAATAGTATCTCCCCATGGATATTTTGAGAAGGTTGAATGAAGAGGAAATTATGAAGAGCCTAGAGGTGTCTGACTTACAGTATGTTCCAGTAAATGTTCACTATTCTTAGTATCTCAGGCAGATGAGCTAGTATAGACAGATAGCTAAGTCAGCTTGCTTCATAGAAATCAGTGCAAGAATTTGGTAGCATACCAACTGATAGTATCAGTTGAAAATAAATGAAATTGCTTACTCCTTGAACCTGCAGAGTTAACTTTTATTTTTTAATGCTTGATACATTTGCATGTCATTCTTGGGCAGTGGCCATGCTGTCTTCTCCGTATTGTTCCAGTTTGGGTGTGCCTACTGCTGAAGTGAGTACTGCAGAGTTGGATCCTGAGGCACTTACATGTGCTGATTGGCACTAATGTGGAATGGAAAGAGACTTGGAAGGCAGCCCAGAGTCACGATCCAGGCATGTGCTAGATGGCAACTGAGGAGCACAGTACCATCTTTACTGGCATTTCCACGTATGTGCCAGGGGTTCTGTGAGCCACCCGAGAAGTATGTAATGCCCCAGCACATAGTTAGGCACTAATCAGTGGTAGTTATCAAGGTGTTTAAAAGCAGATTTAAAATGACTCATGCTAGGGAATTACTTGGCTAAAGCAACCTCATGCTGTTACAGATTAAAAGCCTGGTCAGCAATTCTGTTAGACAGTCAAAAATTGTTTTCTACGGGGCTGAATAGCATATTGCTGTTGAAAATAGCCACCAGGAGACCTTGCACAATCTGTGAAACATTGTTAGGCTCATTGTATTATGTTTGCAAAATCAGGAAAGAATTTGGGAACATAATGAAACAACAAAAAGATGGGTTGTCAAACCCTCACTTCACCAGAAAGCTAAATGAATTTGAAAGTTTTAGGGTCTTAGTTTGTTCCTGCTGCTGTAACAGAATACCTTAGATACTGGGTACCTATAAATAATAGGAATTTATTTCTCACAGTTGTGGAGGCTGGCAAATGCAAGATCCAGATGCTGGTAGGTTCAGTGTCTGGCAAGGGCAGCTCTCTGGTCTGAGATGGTACCTTTTTTCTGCGTCTTCTGTAGGGAATGAACAGTGGCCTTATGGTAGAAGGATGGAAGGGCCAGGCAGCTGTTTTTTTATTTTTAATTTTTTGGATACAGGGTCTTGCTCTGTCGTCCAGGCATCATGATCAAAGTTCACTGCCTCAACCTCCCAGGCTCAAGTGATCCTCCCACCTCAGCCTCTTGAATAGCTGGAACCACAGGCGCAAGCAACCATGCCTAGCTAATTGTGTCTTGTAGAGATGGGGTTTCACCATGTTGCCCAGGCTGGCCTTGAATTCCTGACCTGAAGCAGTCCACCTGTTTCTGCATCCCAAATGCTGAGATTACAGGCATGAGTCATTGTGCCAGGCCTGAAGCCTCTTATTTTTATTTTTTAAAGTTTATTTGTTTATTTATTCATTTTTGAGACAGAGTCTCGCTCTGTTGCCAGGCTGGAGTGCAGTGGCACGATCTCAGCTCACTGCCACCTCCACCTCGGGTTCAAGCAATTCTGCCTCAGCTTCCCAAGTAGCTGGGACTACAGACACCACATCCAACTAATTTTTGTATTTTTAGTAGAGACGAAGTTTCACCATGTTGGCCAGGATGGTCTTGATCTCTTGACCTTGTGATTCCCCCCTCACCACCACCACCACCCCTGCCATGCCACGCCTCAGCCTCTCAAAATGCTGGGGTTACAGGTGTGAGCCACTGCACCTGGCCCTGAAGCCTCTTAATAAGGGCATTGATCCCCTTCATGAGGGATGTTCTCTCATGACTTAATCACCGGCTGAAGACTCCACCTCTTAATACTGTCACATCAGTGAAGGGTTCAGTGTATGAATTGGGTGGGAGGGTGCACATTCAGACCATAGCATCTAGTCATTCTGGTTTTAATAAAATTTATTAGACCTGAGGCATGACAAATAGCATTACTAGATGGGACCTGAGCATCAATAAGCTGCTTCAGTGATACTGTTAGTGTTTTAGGTTTATATATAAAAAGTGGTAAATATGCCAGTGGTGTGAGATTTCAGTTTTTGGTTTTTGAGTTTTTTTGTTTTTTTAGGCAGAGTTTCACTCTTGTTGCCCAGGCTGGAGTTCAGTGGCACAATTTCGGCTCACTGCAACCTCCACCTCCCAGGTTCAAGCAATTCTCCTGCCTCAGCCTCTTGAGTAGCTGGGATTACAGGCATGTGCCCCCACATCTGGCTAATTTTGTATTTTTAGTAGAGGTGGGGTTTCTCCATGTTGGTCAGGCTGGTCTTGAACTCCCGACGTCAGGTGATCTGCCCACCTTGGCCTCCCAAAGTGCTTGGATTACAGGCATAAGCCACCGCGCCTGGCCATTTCAAGTTTGTTTTTTTTTTTTTTACGAAAAAGTTTATACTTACAGAAAACCTAGAAGGACTAGTACATTGATACCTATGTGTTTACCACCTTGATGTAAAAGATACGCTATTTGCTTTATCTGTATTTCATTGCTAGGAAGCATTTGAAAGCAGTCAACATAATACTTGATTCTGAAATAAGTATGTGTTTCGAAAATATACTTCGCTCTATAATGGGCACTATAGCACTTCGGAACATTGACAAATATTTCCTGTTACTGAATATCCAGTTCATATTGAAGTTTTCCTTGGGGAGAATTCTGGGTCCAGGGTCGGTCCCAGTAGTGGTGTAGTTTAGTTGTCATTAGGGTCTAAAAATTTCTATATTGAGGAAATACCTGTGTTTATAGCGCTCAGGCTTCTGTAAAGCTCTTCGACTAGATAAAAGTACCTATTTGCAACTCCTGGATAGAAGATGGGACTAGGTAGATTCCGATCAGTATTTGTGCCTGCACCAGGCTCTCCTCTTCATCAGCGGAAGAGCAGTTTCGAACTAAATAAAGAGAATGCACATTGGACAGCAGCAGGGTGGGGGCAGATCTGCTAGAATCTATCAGACATGGCGCAGGTTCAAACTTGAGCTGTGTGTGCCTCCCTTCCGTTGTGTGGCACTTAGTGTGTACTTGCTTGCAAAAGTTTATTGAGCCCCCATCTTGAGAAGCGTCAATGTGGAGCTACAAGGAGAAAGAAGAATACCTGAAATCACAGAATTTGAGGAGAGGGTTCCATGAGATGGGTGAGGGAAACAGCCTAGGAGACAACTGGGAATTTTGAAAGACCCATAGGCAGCGCTCTCAGACAACTGCCTTTGAGATGGGCACATTCCAAACCTGGACTATCCCGTGTGCTAGCCACTGGCTGCATGGAGCTTCTGCATATGGGAGGCTAGTATGAGGATTTTAAGTTCAAATTTTATTTATTTTTGAGACAGTCTCCCTCTGTCACCTAGACTGGTACAGTGGCACAATCCTGGTTCACTCCAACCTACGCCTCCCAGGTTCAAGTGATTCTCCTGCCTTAGCCTCCAGAATAGCTTGGATTATAGGTGCCCACCACCACACCCAGCTGATTTTTGTATTTTTTGGTAGAGATGGGGTTTCACCATGTTGACCAGGCTGGTCTTTAACTTCTCACCTCAGGTGATCCTCCTGCCTCAACCTCCCAAAGTGCTGGGATTATAGGTGTGAGCCACCATGCCTGGCCATAAGTTTAACATTTTCATTGTCACATATGATGGTGGCTAATGTACTGAACAGTGCAGCTCTTAGCTACCAACAATGTTCTGCAGGCCACTGAGATCAAAGAGAATTTCAGCAAGATGAACAATGGTCGCAAGAGCAGCAGTAGTATCAATCAAACGTTGATCTCCCAAATTCTGAGATCTATAAGATGCATGTCATTTTCACTGAGTCCTGTGTTTGTGTACCCTAAATTCTGTTTTTAGAAGTCTGCCTCTTTGGCCAAGGCAGCTCCAGAGGAGTCCCACAACAATGTCCCCCTGAGGTGGCAGTGGCACCTGTGGGGACCACTAGCAGCCATGGGCTTAGGGAAAGTGGGGATCAAGGCCCAGCTTCTGTGTCCTGTCAGAGAAAGGCTGAGCACCCCCTCAGGGGAGGATTAACTTCCATGTGAGGCCTCCTGACGTCACCAGGCAGCAGCCCCAGGCCGTAAAATCCCTGTCTCCAATTCAGGAAGAAGAGTCTTGAGATTCCTATGCCTAGAAAAAGTAACAACTGGATGGGGCACGGTGGCTCATACCTGTAATCCCAGCACTTTGGGAAGGCGAGGTGGGTGGATAATGAGGTCAGGTGTTCAAGACCAGCCTGACCAACAAGGTGAAACACTGTCTCTACTAAAAATACAAAAAAAAAAAAAATTAACTGGGTGTGGTGGCGTGTGCCTGTAATCCCAGGTACTCGGGAAGCTGAGGCAGGAGAATCGCTTGAACCCAGGAGGCAGAGGTTGCAGTAAACTGAGATTGCACCGCTGCACTCCAGCCTGGGCAACAGAGATGACTCTGTCTCAAAAAAAAAAAAAGGAAAAGTAACAACTGATACAGATCCCAAATAAGAAAAAGAGGAAGACAATTCTGCCCTCCCTCAGGAAGTTTCCATTGCTGCATCTAGACCTAGGCCAGGATGGCACAGTAGAAGCAGGACACCTGTTTCTTGTCGTGGTAATACAGCAAACACCTGAAGCTCTCAGGGCAAGACCAGTTCATTGCAACTCATCTGCAAGTCAGAACCGAATACAGACCAGCTCGGTGATGACACTGGAGAAGAGCATCAGTCTCCAGGTGGCATTAGTGAGGACAAAGAAGAGACATTGATCAGTGAAGAGGAGACATTCAAAGATGACCCAAGAGATGAGACCTACAAACCCCTCTTAGAAAGGGAAACCCCAGGGCTGGGCACGGTGGCTCACGCCTGTAATCCCAGCACTTTGGGAGGCCGAGGCAGATGGATCACCTGAGGTCAGGAGTTCGGGACCAGCCTGGCTAACATGGTGAAACCCCATCTAACATGGTGAAACCCTGTCTCTACTAAAAATACAAAAAAATTAGCCGAGTGTGGGGGCAGGCACCTGCATGCAGTCCAGCTACTTGGGAGGCAGAGGCAGGAGAATCACTTGAACCCAGGAGGCAGAGGTTGCAGTGAGCCGAGGGAGGCCACACCAGCCTGGGCAACAAAAACAAAAATCTGTGTCCCTGCTCCCCAAAAAAATAGCATGATGTAGAATCTTCCTACCAGTTTTCCTGCAACATCTGTGGCAAAAGATTTGAGAAGGACATCGTAGTGGCACACAAAGCAAAAAGCCACCCTGAGGTGCTGATTGAAGAAGCTCTGGCTGCCAACACAAGTACCCTCATCATCAGCACAGATATTTTGGGCACTAACCCAGAGTCCTTGACACAGCCTTCAGATGGTCAGGGTTTTCCTTTTCTTCCTGAGCCCTTGGGAAACTCAACCTCTGAAGGATGCCTACCACTAGAAGCTGAAAGGATGTCAGGGTCATACTGCAGTGGGATGGGACAGGTGAGCCTGATGGCTGATGGGAAAAGCTTTGTGGGAAGCAGTCCCAGTGAGGGCACCGAAGGGCTGCTCATGAACTCGGATGCTATCACAGAGGCTCTGATTGAAGATTCAGACTACCGGAACTTAGTGAAAGATAAGGTCTACCGGACCTTAGTGGAAGGGAAGACTTGGAGCACTGGGACAGTTCAGACTTTGTATTTAAAAGTAAAAAGAACCAAAAAACAATTTTTTTTTTTCTGAGACGGAGTTTCGCTCTTGTTACCCAGACTGGAGTGCAATGGCGTGATCTCGGCTCACTGCAACCTTCGCCTCCTGGGTTCAGGCAATTCTCCTGCCTCAGCCTCCTGAGTAGCTGGGATTACAGGCACGCACCACCATGCCCAGCTAATTTTTTATATTTTTAGTAGAGACGGGGTTTCACCATGTTGACCAGGATGGTCTCGATCTCTTGACCTCATGATCCACCTGCCTTGGCCTCCCAAAGTGCTGGGATTACAGGCTTGAGCCACCGCGCCCAGCCCCCAAAAATTTTTTTAAGCATTTAAAATCTAGTAGCCAGATGCAGTGGCTCACGCCTGTAATCCCAGCACTTTAGGAGGCCAAGGTGGGCAGATCACCTGAGGTCTGGAGTTCAAGACCAGCTTGACCAAAGTGAAGAAACCCCATCTCTACTAAAAATACAAAATTAGCTGGATGTGATGGCACATGCCTGTAATCCCAACTACTCGGGAGGCTGAGGCAGAATTGCTTGAATCAGGGAGATGGAGGTTGTGGTGAGTCAAGATCGCACCATTGCACTCCAGCCTGGGCAACAAAAGCGAAACTGCATCTCAAAAATAAAATAAAATCTAGTAAAAATAAAAATAAACCAAAAAAGTTTGCCTCTTGTATCACTTGAGCTCAGGAGTTTGAGACCAGCCTGGCCAACATGGTGAAACCTGGTCTCTACTAAAAATACAAAAATTAGTCAGATGTGGTGAACCATGCCTATGGTACCCAGCTGCTCGGGAGGCAGAGGTGGGAGAATCGCTTGAACCCAGGAAAAAGAGGTTGTAGTGCGCTGAGATTGTGCCACTGCCCTCCAGACTGGGGGACAGAGTGAGACTGTCTCAAAAAAAAATTAATAAATAGGCCGGGAGTGGTGGCTCATGCCTGTAATCCCAGCACTTTGGGAGGCCAAGGCGGGTGGATCACAAGGTCAGAAGTTTGAAACCAGCCTTGCCAACATAGTGAAACCTCATCTCTACTAAAAATACAAAAAAGTTTAAAAATATGTAAAAAATAAAATAAAATAAATTAGCCAGGGGTGGTGGCAGGCGCTTGTAATCTCAGGTACTTGGGAGGCTGAGGCAGGAGAATTGCTTGAACCCAGTCGGTGAAGGTTGCAGTAGCCAAGATCGGACCATTGCACTCCAGCCCCAGTGACAGTGCGAGACTCTCTCAATAAATAAATAAATAAAAATTAAAGTCTGCCTCTGTATCACTAATGCTCTTAAACAAAATTACGAAAACTGTTTTAAGGAAACATTGGGGAATAGTGAAAATATTAATCTATTGATGAGAACCTCTTTCTTTCTTTTCTTTCTTTCTCTTTCTTTTTTCTTTTCTTTTCTTTTTTCTTTCTTTGATGGAGTTTCTCTCTGTTGCCAGGCTGGAGTGCAGTGGTGCAATCTTGGCTCACTGCAACCTCTGCCTGGCTAATTTTTTAATTTTAGTAGAGATGGGGTTTCACCATATTGGCCATGCTGATCTCAAACTCCTGACTTTGTGATCTGCCCACCTCAGCCTCCCAAAGTGCTGGGATTACAGGAGCGAGCCACCATGCCTGGCCTATTTTTATTCTTTTTTTTGAGACAGAGTCTTGCCTCCTGGGTTCAAGCTTCTGGAGTAACTAGGATTACAGGCACACACCATCACACCCAGCCAATTTTTATATTTTTGGTTGAGACAGGGTTTTCCCATGTTGGCGAGGCTAGTCTTGAACTCCTGGCCTCAAGTGATCCGTGTACCTTGGCCTCCCAAAGTGCTGGTGTGAGCCACCACACTCGGCTGAAAACCTAATTCCTAATTAAGTTTGCCTTTTCAGTGGACATATAACCTATATGTTGAATTTAGAAAACAGTCTGGGCGCCATGGCTCATGCCTGTAATTCCAGCACTTTTAGAGGTGAAGGCAAGAGTATTGTTGAGCCCAGAAGTTGGAGACCAGCTTGGGAAGCATAGCAAGACCCTGTCTGATTAAAAAGCAAAAAGAGGTTGGGCGCGGTGGCTCACGCCTGTAATCCCAGCACTTTGGGAGGCCGAGGCGGGCGGATCATGAAATCAAGAGATCGAGACCATCCTGGCCAACACGGTGAAACCCTGTCTCTACTAAATATACGAAAATTAGCTGGGTGTGGTGGCACGTGCCTGTAGTCCCAGTTACTTGGGAAGCTGAGGCAGGAGAATTGCTTGAACCCAGGAGGCGGAGGCTGCAGTGAGCTGACATTGCACCACTGCACTCCAGCCTGGCACCTGGCAATGGAGAAATACTGTCTCAAAAAAAAAAAAAAAAAAAAAGCAGAAAGAAAGTAAGATAGAAGATGAAGAAAAAAAACTCAACATGTTCACCTTTTAGGTTTGCAATATTTATATTTTGTAATGCTACTAATGTGGGCCCTGCACAGGAATACTTCCGGTCTGTTTGTAAATTCAGACCAACTTCTGTTTCCCAAGTCATATAAACATGCTGACACCATGCATGTCCCAAATGCATTCTCCTTATGAATACAGAGTTTAACACATCTTCATATTCAAAGGGAACAGGGAACAGGAAGTTTTGAGATATTTGAAAAACAATACTTTTTAAACTTAGCAGTGACAGAAGAAATAAACGATGGAAAGACTTGATCATGTAAAAATTTAAAACTTAAAAATCACTTCTTTTTGGAGATGGCCTTGCTCTGTTGTCCAAGCTGTTCTCAAACTCCTGAGAGATCACCCATTTCGGTCTCCCAAAGAACTGGGATTACAGGCATGAGCCACCACGCCTGGTCACCATTTTCTTTCTTGCACCATTTTGGACATTTTATGTCTTCTATATGTTTTTACCAGCTATTGTAAAATTTTTAACACTCATAATTTTTAATTTTTTTTGTTTTTTTGAGACAGGGTCTCACTCTGTCACCCAGGGAGTGCAGGGACATGATTGTGGCTCACTGCAGCCTTGACCTCCCTGGGCTTAGACGATCCTCCCACCTTGGCCTTTCAAGTAGCTGGGACTACAGGTGCATGCCACCATGCTCAGCTAATTTTTGTATTTTTTGTAGAGTTTTTTTTGTTTTGTTTTGTTTTGAAAGAGGGTCTCCCTCTGTCGCCCAGGCTGGAGTGCAGTGGCATGATCATGGCTTACTGCAACCTTTGCCTCCTGGGTTCATGCGATTCTCCTACCTCACCCTCCCGAGTAGCTGGGATGGCGGCTGTATACCACCTCACCCAGCTATTTTTTTTTTTTTTAGTAGAGGCAGGGTTTCACTGTGTTGACCAGACTGGTTTCAAACTCCTGACCTTGTGATCCACCTGCCTCGGCCTCCCAAAGTGCTGGGATTACAGGCGTGAGCCTTTTCTTAATATAAGGAAGCACATCCATCTATTTTCCTTATATTCCACCCCCTAGGCCGAGGGAGACATAAGTTTTGGGCACACAGGCTTCACATAAGTCTGGGCACACAGGCCTGATACACAGGCTTGGCACACAGGGCTGGGACACACAGGTCTGACACATAGACTTTATACATAGGTTACAGCCATACAGGGAGCAACAACTCCAGGTTATGGTGGGCAACCACCCATGTCTTCATTACCCTAGTGCTGCTTTATACATTAAGCCAGATGTTTTTGTTCCCCTCCCTTTGAGGGTATTGAGGCAGGCAACAACAGGTTACCATTCTTCCCATATCTGGTCAAAGGAGGTCATCCTTTCTCCTATAGGTCTTGCCACATGGCTTGGCCCTACATGGGCCGGTGACCAACTGGCCACTTCCTTAACTTCTAGGTAGTTAACCACAAGATTAAGCCTCAAAAAACTGCCCAGTTATTGGTGCAGATTACCACAGGTGTCACCTCTTCGGTGATCACCATCCAGCTCTGAGTTCAGCCCATTGGCCACTTTGTCCACACCTGGCATCAAACCATATGGTGTCAGTACTAGGCTGGACTGCGACAGCAGCCCAGACAGCAGTAGCACCTCAGATAGACCCATTTGTATGCCATGCCTCAGCAGGAATGGGGGCATCCTTCCTTAAACAGTGAAGGCTCAGGGTCTAGGGGTACCTCAGGCCCCACAGCCTTATCTTGCATTAGGACTACAGGTCCCAAGACCTCTTGCGACTTTGCTACTTAGGGGCTTGTACTAAGCATACTCTGCTGCTCTAAGTAGGTGCCCCCCCTTTGCCAAAGTGGATGTCTGTGATGTCCCAGTCCAGGAGTTGTTACCCATGAACATATCCACCTCAGTATTAGGTAAATCATCTGCATGATGACTGTAGCCTGTCCTGCATGCTCTCATGGGCCTGAAGGGTGGCATATACAGCTGCCAGCTGTTTCTGTATCAAAGAATACTGGAGCTCAGCTCCCTTCCATAGTTGGGACCAAAAACCTACTGACATTCTCAGGTGTTCTGCGTGCTACCACAGGCCCCAACTAAAACCATCTGTGGTCACATGCACATCCAGCTCAAATGGGCACCCCTGGCCAACTGCCCATAGGGCTTGTGCCTGCTGAATAGCCCGCCTGGCTGCTAGGAAGGCGGTCTCAGCCACATCCCACTCTCACGCAAGAGGGTCATTGCCACTTCTAAATCTTCAAGAGAATCAGAGGTTAACATAATATTATCAATGATACCATGACATATGATGGGGCTATAGCCCTGTGGCAACACTGAAATTTCATTGTCACCCTTCCATGAAGGCAAACTGGTCTTGGCTCTCTGGAAAAGAATGCATTAGCCAAGTCCACCACATAGCATTACTGTCCCAATTCTGCTGTCAGGCAGTCAATCTAGTCTGTGATAGATGGCACAGCTGCCAAGCCATGCAAGATATCCACCTCTAGAATGTATTTACATAAGCGGCCGATGCCAAGGTACAAACATACAGGTTTCACTTTCATTGATCAGTTTTCATAGCTGTCTCTGCAGCCTTGCCTAGAAACTTATCCAGGTTCCATAGACAAGGGTATAATCTTAAAAAATAAAAAAAGGGTATAATCTACACTGGTACCTACTAGCACCAGCACCCACTGTACAAATTAAACAGAGGGGGCTCTATACCCCTGCCTGGCTGCAGCATGTAGTCTGAGCCGAAGTGCCTGGGTGGGATGAAGCTGTGCATCAATGCCCTTCTCCCCATTGGGCATTTTCTGGAATTGCTGCTCAGGAGACAACTGTTTTCACAAAGTTAAGAGAACTTCAGGCCAGGCGTGGTGACTTACACCTGGAATCCCAGCACTTTGGGAGGCTGAGGCAGGCAGATCATGAGGTCAGGAGTTTGAGACTAGCCTGGCCAACATGGTAAAACCCTGCCTCTAAAAATATAAAAATTAGCTGGGCACAGTGGTGCGCACCTGTAGTCCCATCTACTTGGGAAGCTGAGGCAGAAGAATCCCTTGAACTTGGGAAGCAGAGGTTGCAGTGAGCCAAGATCATGCCACTGCATTCCAGCCTGGGTGACAGAGTGAGACTCCATCTCAAAAAAAAAAAAAAAAAAAAAACTGGCCGGGCGTGGTGGCTCACGCGTGTAATCCAAGCACTTTGGAGGCCAAGGCGGGCGGATCACCTGACGTCAGGAGTTCAAGGCCAGCCTGACCAACATGGTGAAACCCCATCTTTAAAAAAAAAGAACTAGCCGGGCGCAGTGGCTCACGCCTATAATCCCAGCACTTTGGGAGGCTGAGGCGGGTGGATCACAAGGTCAAGAAATCGAGACCATCCTGGTCAACAATGTGAAACCCCGTCTCTACTAAAAATACAAAAAAAATTAGCCGGGCATGGTGGCGCACGCCTGTAGTCCCAGCTACTCGGGAGGCTGAGGCAGGAGAATTGCTTGAACCCAGAAGGCGGAGGTTGCAGTGAGCTGAGATCTCAAAAAAAAAAAAAAGAACTTCATTGGGCTGCTTATAGATTTTTTTCTTGGTCAATCCTGGCCAAAATCAAAGCTATCCACATCTATGAGCATGTCACTCTTTTTGGGTCCCCCTTTCTCCCATTAGGAAGCCCCTTGTGGGTGGGGCATCTTCCCCTTCTTTATGGCATGGACCCGTGGGTCCTGCTGATGACCTTCTGATGGACCACTGGGCAAGCCCGCATCAGGGGTTCTTCCTCCTCGGTATCAGGCCAATTGGAGGTCTCTGGCCAAGATCACGGACCCAGGCCTGCAGTTACAGCAGCCTCTAATTCTTTTTCCAAGCTCTGTAGCTGGGCCTCCAGGAACCTGCCTGCGCCTGGAGGTCCCCATTCATAGCAGCTTCTAACTCATTTTCCAAGCTGTGTAGCTGGGCCTCTAGGTGCCCTGCCTGCACCTGGAGGGCCCTCACCTGCACTGCATTTCTCAGGGTCTGGGTGTGTACTTCTCGTAGCACAGTAAAAAATGCTCATCCAACTCTGCTGGCAAAAGCTCACTCCTTCTCAGTGCTCCATGCTTCCAGCCGCCCCAGTGCCTTCTCCATGCTTGCAGATGGACCCATCCATTGCTGCCCAGCTTACCACTGGAGCCCATCTGAGTAGCAAAGCTGCCAGCGGGTACCACAGCCCATGCTGCAGCCACACGGCAGACTCAAAATCAGCGGGGACCAAAGGCTGACTCACCCCAGGATCCTGTTTGGATGTCAGGTTCTAGCCCAAATTGACATCTGAAGGGTGATGGGTAGCTGGGAAAGCACTTGAGTAAGTGTAGACAGTTTGATATGGCTTTACTCTTCCTCTAAGTGTGAGTGAGTCATATGTACAGTGTCAGAAGGGTAGTTATGCCTTTTACAGACAATAGGGTCTCCAAGCCAAGCACAAACTTTCGTGGGTAATCACATAATGCACCTCACATGGTGTGGTTACATAACAAGTGGATTTTGCGCCTGTGCTCCAAACTTACTGAGTCACGCTGTACTGGTTCTGCCTTGGCCTATTCTTGACCACAGCACGTCCTTTTTCCTTAGACCACTGCACTCCAGCCTCAGCCTAGGCAACATACAAAGACATAGAAGACTTAATCTCAAAAAAAAAAAAAAAGGCAGGGGGGAGCTAGTTTAAATAATAATAGGTTGTCACCCTATATAAGATTCTACAGTGGGCATGGTGGCTTACACCTGTAATCCTAGCACTTTGGGAGGCCAAGGTGGGTGGATCACTTGAGGCCAGGAGTTCGAGACCAGCTTGGTCAACGTGGTGAAACGCCATCTCTACTAAAAATACAAAAATTAGCTGGGCATGGTGGCATGCACCTATAATCCCAGCTACTCTGGAGGTTGAGGCAGAGATTGTAGTGAGATGAGATCGCACCACTGCACTCTAGCCTGGGTGACAGAGTGAGACTCCATCTCAATTAAAAAAAAAAGATCCTATGAAGCGGCTGTTGGCAAGTCTTGGGTTCTTCAGGGTCTAGTCCAAACTGACCTTTTTCTGAAACTTGCTTCTGCCAGTAAACGAATTCTCAGAAAGCAGAGGTGGTTTTCAAGATATTTAACAACCTAGGGGCTGCTGGCCTTAGTAAGGCCAGGCATTAGCCCTCCAATTGCTGGATGTGAGACCCTGAGACGGGTGGTCAGAGGTTACTTAGGCAAATATTTCAATATTGTAATAACTGTTATAGCCCCCAGGGAACTCCCTGGCTGAATCTCTCTCTCACACAGGCTGAGGCCCTGTTACTCCCAGATTCATTTGCATTGGAAATAGAGGAGGAGTGGCGCCCATGATCATTGAGCCCAGGTGTTTGTGGTTAGCCACTGTCAAGTGTTTCATGTATCTGATTGAAACTTCACTCGCAATCCTTGGGGAATTTTAAAAAACACTCTAAGGGCCGGGTGCGGTGGCTCATGCCTGTAATCCCAGCACTTTGGGAAGCTGAGGTGGGGGGATCACAAGGTCAAGAGATCAAGACTATCCTGGCCAACACAGTGAAACCCCATCTCCACAAAAATCAGCTGGGTGTGGTGGTGCACGCCTGTAGTCCCAGCTACTCGGGAGGCTGAGGCAGGAAAATTGCTTGAATCTCCGGGAGGTGAAGATTACAGTGAGCCGAGATCGTACCACTGTACTCCAGACTGGTGCCTGGCGACACAGCGAGACTCTGTCTCAAAAAGTTAAAAAAAAAAAAAACCGCTCTAAGACAGGCCTTCCTGCTTTTACGGTCTAGTGCTCTTATAACCTTCTTATAATTTGGATATTTCATGAATTAAACAAAGTTTATTGAGTACTCACCATATCGACTGTGACAAAAACAGAGAACAAGGCTGGTGCAAGTGCAGTAGTGTTTACAATTGCTTGATTATCACCAGTTACAGATTTATTTGTTCCTTCTCCATTCCCATTGCTTCACTTGACTAGCCTGTAAAAAAGAAGTATAAGATGACAAGGTTCCAGATCTCCCACAGCCTATATTCTGGTCAGGACATACAGACCTAAAAAAAAGCAGCCTGGGAACATGTGTTAAATTAGATATGGCATATATTAGTCTGTTTTCATGCTGCTGATAAAGACATTCCCAAGACTGGGCAATTTACAAAATATAGAGCTTTATTGTACTTACAGTTCCACATGGCTGGGAGGCCTCACAAACATGGCAGAAGGTAAAGAGGATCGAGTCACATCTTACATGGATGGTGGCAGGCAAACAGAGAGCTTGTGCAGGGAAACTCCCATTCTTAAAACCATCTGATCTCGTGAGACTCATTATCATGAGAACAGCATAGTCCTACCCCATCATTCAATCACCTCCCACCAGGTTCCTTCTATGACACATGGGAATCATAGGAGTTACAATTCAAGATGAAATTTGAGTGGGGACACAGGCAAACCACATCATTCCACACCTGGCTCCTCCCAAATCTCATGTCCTCATGTTTCAAAACCAGTCATGCCTTCCCAACAGTCCCCCTAAGTCTTAACTCATTTCAGCATTAACTCAAAAGTCCACAGTCCAAAGTCTCATCTGAGACAAGGCAAATTCCTTCCACCTATGAGCCTGTAAAATCAAAAGCAAGCTAGTTACTTCCTAGATACAATGGAGGTACAAGTATTGGGTAAATACAGCCATCCCAAATGGGAGAAATTGACCAAAACAAAGGGGTTACAGGGCCCATGCAAGTCCAAAATCCAGCGAGGCAGTCAATTTTTTTTTTTAATTCAGTCTCCATGGAGACTGCCAAAAATTGCCAACGCTGATTATATTCAAGTCGTCATAGCGGGATATTGGGAAAAGTTTCAATTAGCAATAATCGCACCTTGGGTAAACCTCATTGGCTACAATACTGTCACTGTGCAAAGCTGGCAGTCAAATTTTAAAGGTCCAAAATGATCTCCTTTGATTCCTAGTCTCACATCCAGGTCTTGCTAATGCAAGAGGTGGGTTCCCACAGTCTTGGGCAGCTCCACCCCTGTGGCTTTGCAAGGTACAGCCTTCCTCCTGGCTGCTTTCATGGGCTAGTGTTGAGTGCCTGCAGCTTTTCCAGGTGCATGGTTCAAGCTGTTGGTGGATCTACGTGCAGCCTTTCCAGGTGCATAGTGCAACCTGTCAGTGGGTCTGGAAGACAGTGGTCCTCTTCTCACAGCTTCACTAGGGATTCTGTGAGGGGGGCTCCTACCTCATGTTTCCCGTCAACACTGCCCTAGCAGAGGTTCTCCATGAGGGCCCCGCCCCTGCAGCAAACTTCTGCCTGGGTATCCAGGCATTTACATACATCCTCTGAAATCTAGACAGAGGTTTCCAAACCTCAATTTGTAACTTCTGTGCACCCAAAGGCTCAACACCAAGTGGAAGCTGCCAAGGCTTGGGGTTCTGCCCTCTGAAGCAACAGCTTGAACTGTACCTTGGCCTCTTTTAGTCATGGATGCACTGGCTGGGACTCAGGGCACCAAGTCCCTAGACTACACACAGCAGAGGGACCCTGGGCCTGGTCCACAAAAATGTTTTCATGGACCAGGCCCAGGGTTAGAATATAGCATTTAAATAGGAGTATTAATATTGCCACTATTATTGAGGACACTATAGGCCACAACCACAACAGTAGAGTTTGTTTGATACCTGCTAGCCATTCTGATGGGTTATACTACTGGTTTGCCTTCAGCAGGTGTTACTGTACTTTACCAGAAGCATTAGTATAAAAGTAACTTTTTTTGGCCGGGCGCGGTAGCTCACCCCTATAATCCCAGCACTTTGGGAGGCCGAGGCAGGTGGATCATGAGGTCAAGAGATCGAGACCATCCTGGTCAACATGGTGAAACCCCAACTCTACTAAAAATACAAAAATTAGCTGGGCATGTGGTGTGCGCCTGTAGTCCCAGCTACTCGGGAGGCTGAGGCAGGAGAATTGCTTGAATCCAGGAGGTGGAGGTTGCAGTGAACTGAGATCGTGCCATTGCACTCCAGCCTGGGTAACAAGAGCGAAACTCCGTCTCCAAAAAAAAAAAAAAAAAAAAAGTAACTTTTTTTATGGCTAAGTGGCATTAGATTGAATGGCTAGAGTAACTTTATATTTTATTTATTTATTTTTATCATTAATTTTTGAGACAGAGTGTTACTCTGTTGCCTAGGCTGGAGTACACTGGTGGGATCTCAGCTCACTGCAACCTCCACCTCCCAGGTTCAATTGATTCTCCTGCCTCAGCCTCCCAAAAAGCTGGAATTACAGGTGTGTGCCACCATGCCTGGCTGTTTTTTGCATTTTTAGTAGAGCTGGGGTTTCACCATGTAGAACAGGCTGATCTCGAACTTCAGACCTCAGGTGATTCACCATCCTTGGTATCCCAAAGTGCTAGGATTACAGGCATGTGCCTGGTCAAGGTGATTACTTTTAAGAAAGACTTCACAAGCATTAACAACCTGTTTGACTGTTTTTATTAAGTTCTCTCTTGAAAAATATCTCTGAGCACACTGATAAGTTTTATCCTTTCCTAAGTGAAAAGCTTGGTGAAGGATTTTTAAGAATTTTCCACGGGCTGGAGGCTGACAAGCTTGCTATCCTCTGTAGCCATCCTGAGGGCTGGAAAGTGTACCCTTGAGAGATGGCCCATTCTGTCTCTGCAGGGGAGTACTGAGGCTTAATTTCTCTTATGGAACCTTCCCGGATTAGAGGGGCTTTAAGTGTGTCGATACCCTGAGGCTTCCTTGCTGCTGACTTGGCTGCCTGATGAGCTAACTTGTTTCCTTTGGCTATTTAATTTGTTCCCTTCTGATGTCCCTTACAATGCATTACTGCTACCTCTCTTGGAAGGAATATTGAGGATAATAAGCTGTCAATTTCCTGGCTATATATATATATATATATATATATTTTTTTTTTTTTGAGATGGAGTTTCGCTCTTGTTACTCAGGCTGGAGTGCAATGGCGCGATCTCGGCTCATCGCAACCTCCGCCTCTTGGGTTCAGGCAATTCTCCTGCTTCAGCCTCCCCAGTAGCTGGGATTACAGGTACATGCCACCATGCCCAGCTAATTTTTTGTATTTTTAGTAGAGACGGGGTTTCACCATGTTGACCAGGATGGTCTCGATCTCTTGACCTCGTGATCCACCTGCCTCGGCCTCCCAAAGTGCTCCTGGCAGTACTTTATAGGGGATCCATTAGCAGTAAGAAAGTGTCTTTCTTTCCAAATGGCAGCATGAGCATGAAGAACCAAGAAAGTATACTTGGAGTCAGTGTAAATGTTGGCTAGCTTTCCCTTGCTTAACTCAAGGGCTCTTGTAAGAGCTATCAAGTTAGCTAGCTGAGCCCTTGTGCCTGGAGAGAGGGGTGCACTTTTAATAATATCATTCAGAGTGACTACTGCATATCCTGCTTTATGGACTCCCTGCTTCAGAATGGAACTTCCATCCATGAAGAAGGTCCAATCTGGATGTATTGGGACTACAGCCTCATTAATGAGGTAGAGGTCCTGAATTAATCTCCATTCCTCATTGGGTTTTTGCACTCCTAATATTGGGGTGTTGTGGGACCCGTTACAGGGTTTGAGGAGGCCCTGCATCTTTAGGTTAATAATGGCTTCTAGCTGGGCGCGGTGGCTCAAGCCTGTAATCCCAGCATTTTGGGAGGCCGAGGTGGGTGGATCACGAGGTCAAGAGATCGAGACCATCCTGGTCAACAAGGTGAAACTCTGTCTCTACTAAAAACACAAAAATTAGCTGGGCATGGTGGTGCGCGCCTGTAGTCCCAGCTACTCGGGAGACTGAGGCAGGAGAATTGCTTGAACCCAGAAGGCGGAGGTTGCAGTGAGCCGAGATCGTGCCATTGCACTCCAGTCTGGGTAACAACAGCGAAGCTCCGTCTCAAAAATAAAAATTAAATAAATAAATAAATAATAATGGCTTCTAGCACTTTCCTAGCTTCTGGCTTTAGGGGATATTGTTTCTGGTTAGGAAGAAGTAGAATCCTTATGATGGATCTGAACTGGCCTATCCTTCCTTGAATTGCCCACACTTTGGATTAATATTAGCTTCCACCAGCGGGAAGAGTTTGTCTGGGGCCATAAGGATGCTGGCCCCCATGCAAGCTAACTGTCTTTACCCAATAAAGGAGTGGGATTTTTTAGGCATTATTAAAAAGACATGTGTAAATAATAGGTTCCCCAGCTACAACTAAGGGGTTGAGAAAAATATAAGGTTAGAACCTTTCCTGAGATGCCCATCATGGTTGTGCTATGGGAAGAGGGGAGTCTTATATTAGAGAGAAGAGAGAGGCTGGCTCCAGTGTCCAGAAGGAGGTCCACCCTCCTTTCTTCAATTTCCAGAATCACCTGGAGTTCCTATGCAGTAATGGCAGTTCGAGCTGGTGGAGCATCTGTGAGACTGGTTCTGAATCCAGTGACCTCCATCTCCAGGGGCAGTCCAATTTCCAACAGTCTCTGCCACAGGTTGAACAGGGTCGAGGTGGCTTCCTCTTACTGCCTGGGTACTCCTTCTTAAAGCACCCTCACTTGCCACACCAGTAGCAACTAGCAGATGTACCTTGGGGATCCTGGACTTTGCAAGGCTGCAAAGCAGCTGCTAGAGCCTCTGTCCTTCTCTCGTGTTTACTTTTTTTCTCCTGTGTCTCCTCCTGGTCTCCATTATGAAAGACCGAAATGGCCTCCTACAGGAGGTTTACCAAGGTGCTAACTGGCCCTATAACCTGCTTCTTCAATTTCCTTCTAATATTGGGAGCTGCCTATATAATAAACTTGTCCTTTAGGATGAGCTGTCCCTTGACTGAATCAGGGAATAAAGAGGTGTGTTTTATGAGTGCCTCTCTTAGTCCTTCCACAAAGGCTGTGGGATTCTTATATGGCTCTTTGTCTATCACGAATAGTTTAGAGTAATTAAGAGGTTTGGCCTGGCTGGGCACAGTGGCTCATGCCTCTAATCCCAGCATTCTGGGAGGTTGAGGCAGAGAGATCACAGGGTCAGGAGTTTGAGAACAGCCTGAGCAACATGGTGAAACCCTGTCTCTACTAAAAATACAAAAATTAGCCAGGTGTGGTGGTGTGTGCCTGTATTCCCAGCTACTCAGGAGGCTGAGGCAGGAGAATAACTTGAACCCGGGAGGCGGAGGTTGCAGTGAGCCAAGAATGAGCCACTACACTCTAGCCTGGGTGACAGCAACACTTTGTCTCAAAAAAAAAAAAAAAAAAGAGGTTTGGCCCTAGTTTTTCATAGGCCCTCCAATATGCACATTAAAAAGTGTTTCCTTTTCCAAATTGAAAAGGGGTTCCATTCTGTGGAGTTATTGGGGTTCCAATCAGGGTTGTCAAAAGGTACTATCTCTCTTCCTATTGGGAATGATGGTTCCCCTATTTCTTAACATTCCTATTTTCTCTTTCCTTTCCTGGCCTACTACAGGAGACATATTGCTCATCTCTGAACTTACCTGCTGCCTGCAGAGTTGCTGTTTTTCAGCTGTGGTCAGGTTTTGGCTTAAGAGCAGCATAACATCTCTCTATGAGAGATAAAATACCTGAGTTAAATTTTGGAAAGCTTCTTATTTTTATTTTTTTTTGAGATGGAGTTTTGCTCTTGTTGCCCAGGCTGGAGTGCAATGGTATGATCTCGGCTCATTGCAACTTCCACCTCCTGGGTTAAGTGATTCTCCTGCCTCAGCCTTCTGAGTGGCTGGGATTACATGCATGCACCACCACACCTGGCTAATTTTGTATTTTTAGTAGAGACAGGGTTTCTTCATGTTGGTCAGGCTGGTCTTGAACTCCCTACCTCAGGTGATCTGCCCATCTCAGCCTCCTAAAGTGCTGGGATTACAGGTGTGAGCCACTGTGCCCAGCAGAATTTTGGAAAGCTTCTAT